TTTTTAATGGGTTATTAAGTTATCAATTCTCAGAACTAGCCAGCTATTGGTTTTTGCCAGGCACAGAGTAAGCTCTTAGCAGCTTCTCTCAGAAAAATCATTTCTGTGGGTAGCTTCTTCCCGCCTCATCAAATATCAATTAATGCAAAACCAGCACATTCATCTGAAGCCCATCACTGTTAATGGGATCGCTAAAGAAGTCAGTCCTGATATTTTAACAAAATAGAAGTGTGCAGGTGAGTAAAAAACCACCTGGGTTAGTGTGGTTTGCTAAGTTCCTGTTTGTCACATTGACACTTTGGGCAGACATCTTGCCTACTGTCAAGTGAAATGGGTTTGTTTAAACCACATTTGTATTCTATATTGCATTAATTGTGGGTACTTGTTTTAAGTGAGCATGTTTCATTTTGTACTCACAGCAGTCTGGAACAATTAGTGTAGTTATTTAACATAGTTCCCCTCATTTTCCAGTTGTGCTACACTACCTGAGATTTTTCTGGTCATAGCCTGATAACACATACCAGGTTGGAGTAGGCCAGGTCTTGGAAGAAAACTTTAAGTAAAAACTCTACTATCTTGTTTTGTGCCATTATTAGGATTCTTAATTCACATCTTCAGTCTTTGAAATGCATTCTCATGAAATGAGAATTCTTATGATGATGAGATGTTCTTATGAAAAATAAATAATTTGTTTAATTAATGTTATTTATGCTTATTTCAGGGAGCCCAGAATGTAGCTAGTTATATAGTTATACCAGTTATAAGAGAAATCTCAAAATAGCTAAGGGCACTCCTGACAGCAGGAATGACCCCAAACAAGAGCTGAGTGCATGGTTGTGTATCATCTGTCTTGTTTATAAAGCTCAAAAACCATTTTAGCACTGCCCCAGTCTGGGAGAGGGTGTGGGATTGAATGTTTTTTCTAATGACCTTTGCACCATAAAATCCCTGTTTGCTATAAATTGCTTTCTCTTTTTGTTAAACAGTGATGCAGTTTGGAAAAGGAAAGTCCTGTTACTATCGGTTCCTGACCAAAGGGCAGCAGTGGATATGGCTGCAGACACACTACTACATCACCTACCACCAGTGGAACTCCAAGCCTGAGTTCATTGTTTGCACTCATCTGGTAGTTAGGTAGGAACAAGAACCAAACTCTTCAAAGTCTATGTTATGTCTCAGTGTCCAGGCATTGCTTTTTCTAGTTTTGTTTCATGTTAACCAATTACTTGCTGTGCCTACTGACACACTAAAATGATATATAATTCCATTAAACTATTCTGATAGGGAATATGTGGCTTATTTACTTATCTACTTTTTTTTTTTTTTTTTTTTTTTTTTTTTTTTTTTTGGCAACTTAGCCAAAAGCCTGAAAGCCACCTTTGGCCAAATCTATTAGTGTGTTACATTCCCCTTTTGTCCCTAGTGATGACATAGCTATAGAAAGAATTAAAGCTGTTGGAAATCAGACATCTTTCTGGGCATGAATGAGATCATATAACTCCTACAAAACCTTTTGATCAGAGCTTTAAATATTTATGACTTGAAGTTAGCTGCTGGCTTAGTGGCCTTATTCCTCACCCAAATCAAGCCCTGGATCCCCCTCTAGTGGGAAAGCTGCTTGTGCTGAGTTGCAGCCCGTGCTGAAAGGCAGTTAATGTGTGTGAATGCACCTTCTGGAGGGGAATCTGATGGATTACCACAGCCATCTCAAATAAGACTATATGAAGAGTAAGATTGTATTTTCTGAAGGGCTTGAAAAAATAGCAATGCACTGGTTTGCTCTGTTAATTTGAGTAAATTTATTGCTCACTATGTATTTTTTTTCTGTCAGGAACCAATTTTTTTCTGGTCCCCCTCTTTTTCTGTCAAACATCTGGAAGAGTAAACACTAATAAATGTCAAATATATGGGTCTGTTGGAGTAAGCCAGAGGAGGGCCATGAAGATGCTCAGAGGGCTGGAGCACCTCTCCTGTGAAGACAGGAAGAGACAGCTGGAGTTATTCAGCCTGGAGAAGACTCTAGAGAGACCTTAGAGCCTCTTCCAGTGCCTAAGGGAACTCCAGGAGAGCTGGAGAAGGAATTATGGAGCTGTAGAACAAGGGGGAATGGATAAACTGTCAGGGATAGGTTTAGATTAGGTAGAAATTCTTCCCTGTGAGGGTGGTGAGGCACTGGAAGCCTAGAAAAGCTTGGCTGCCCCATCCCTGGAAGTATTCAAGGCCAGGTTGGCTGGGGCCCTGAACAACCTGGTCTAGTGGAAGGTGTTCTGCCCACAGTAGAGGGCTTGGAACCAGATAATTTTTAAGGTCCTTTTCAAGCCAAATTCTATTGATTCTGATTCTATGATTTGTGGTATAAATGACATATGAAGTGCTAACATAAGCAAATGTTACACAGACAGATTGCTTCTCAGTTGTCTTGGTTCTGCCGTCCTTCAGGGAATTCAGCTTCATTTTAAGGACTGAATCTATTGTGCATGAATTTTCTTCTTTATGCTTCCAGTGCTTCTTAGACCTAATGATGTAGTCCTAAATAGAATTTGTTCAATTCTGTCTCAGATAGTTAAGGCTTAAAATATGTTACTGAAGCACACAAGTTAAAATGTTGTTTCTGGAAAATTCATTGCCACGATGATATAAGTGAGGTTGGTTCAGCAACTTCTCTTGCCTCCCACAAAGGTTGCAGCTCAATATTTCATCACCCTAAAGCCTGGCACCGCTCAGTACCCATGACCCATGAGCACTCAGAGAGTCTTTGAAACATCCTCTCCAATTTATCCTAGTGGTGAATCACGTGGCATTTGATACTGGAAATATTTCATTATTTCAGAGGAAAAAAAGTAAGGAAAGAAAATATACACTTTCAGAGGTACCTTACAGGGGTTCTGACACTTCACATTGCACATGTGTAGCTGCTTGTTGGTATTTGGAGTTTCCACTGGAGCTTAACTCTGATGCATGCACAGTTCTGTGCACCCTTAGAAGGAGGGACCTGACCTCGTCCTGCCCAAGGCACTGGCATAGGGATCACTGAACTACCATGCAAAAACAAGGATTCTTGTTCAAGGTTAGAAAATGAGTGTACACTTGGCAGTTTACCTGAACAGAAACTGTAGAATCTTTATTTTTTGTTTGTTTGTTTGGTTTGGTTTTTGTTTTATTGTTGTTGTTAGGGTTTTTTAGTTTTTTACTTTTTTGTTTTTGTTTGTTTGATTGGTTTTTGTTTTGGGTTTTTTTAGTTATGCAGAAGTTCGGGCTGAGAGAAGGCGAGATCTTGGCCTTGAGGAGTCATCGATTGAACTGGCATCCTCTTCTCTAAAGGTACTGTGTTCCTTCACAGTTGAATGAGATGTTTAAACTAAACTGAGTATAGCTTACCAATCTTAGGGAAATATCTGTTCTTTCTTCTCCATTTTCTTTACTCCCATCTCATTCCAAGCCTTCAGCTGGGTCATGACTTAGGCAGGCCCTAAGAAGCTTTCCTGTGCATGGCTCCAAATTGTCCATGTTGGTTCAGGACAGGCTGGATGAGCTTTGAACTGCCTGATCTAGTGGAAGATGTCCCCCTGCCCGTGGCTGGGGGTTTGGAACTAGATGATCTTTAACACCAAGTATTCTCTGATTCTGCAATAACTGTAAATTCAGCAGTTGCATTACTCTGTTCAGGTCCCTGTAATCTTTCTGAGACCATGATGCAAATGACAGGTTAAACCACCTCAGCTCAGAAGCAGAGAAGTAGAGCTGGAGCCAGAGGCCAGATTGCTGTACCTGTCACCCCTAGTAAGGCACAGAGGATCCAAGATTAGGGCAGCACCACAGGGTACCTGTTTTGCTTGTGCCAGCTCATCACTGATACTCAGATGAAGATGGGAAGGCAAGGGAAAACACATAGATTACAGCTCAGTTACTGGATCACATCAAGTGTAGGATTGTGACCTATAACTTCCATGAGCAGTAACTTCCATGGCTTCAGTCAGTCTGGCATCACCACACATCAGCCCAAGTAACAGCGTAATTTTGACTACTTTTAAGTTTCTCTTCTGTAAGCTTGGTAGTTTACAAATAAGATCAGCAATCAAAGTAATTTCAAGTGTGTTGTGGTATAGTTGTCATTCCATCAGTCTCATTGCCTTTCAGACGTTATTTTTATGGGAGCCCAGGCTGTTCCCCTCTGCTGCCCAGGTCCTTCCCAGAACAGGCTGCTGGAGCCACTGCTCCCCAGGGAGCAGTGAGTGGAATTGAAGCTCTCAGCACTTCCCAGCATTTGTCCTCCTCAGGAGACATTTGCTAGATCCTCTTGGGGCTCTCGGTGATGTCTCCATGGCACTGCTCCCTGTCCAGTCATCTCTCTCCATCTCTTTGATGGATAAAACTATTCCCCGGGTAGCACCTCCTGCCACCTTCATTCATTCCCCCTGCCACCACTCCCCAGTGCACCACAGCCAACCAGCTGTGACATCCCTGAAGATATCAGGCAGAAAGAGGCTGACTACAAAACCTGTTGCCCACAGCTCTGTGAGGGGAGAAGGACATTGGCACACCAGAGTGCAGGCCATGGGCAGCAATCCACATGGAGGAGAAATCCTTCACTGCTGCTCACTGCAATCAGATGGGTGCCCAGGGCATGAGTATGCGGGCCCTGTGTGCCAGACGGCTTTCGGTTGAACACAGAGGGATGGAGTGAACAGGGTTTGGTGGTGTGGTGCTGCAAACCTGCTGGGTTTGTCTACAAACAAGGGCTCAAAGAGGTGGAGGTCCCTTCCAGGGCCATTCCCGTCTGCTGACAATCTCACCACTTGTGCTTTGCTCCTCTCAGAGCCACAGCAGCTACCTGGACGTGGGGCAGTGCGGCAGCAGCCAGGATGCCAGCCGAGAGGGAGTGTCGCTGTCATCACACAGCTCCCAGCACTCCTCGCATACCACCCTCTCCAACTCCACCTGTAGGTGCTGGGGCAGCCCAGCTTGGGTGCAGGCAGTGGGGAGGGCAGAGCAGCCTCTAAAATACTGGTGTTTGGCCGGAAGTGACCAAGTCAGGGTGGGAGAGGAATGCTCAGCACTGGGACCTACATACCATGTCATGACAAGTCACACAGCAGCAACAGAGCCATGGCCACCTGATGCTTCCTCCCTTCCACCACCTGTTTGAGAGCAGATTTCCCCTGGCTTGTCACCAGCTGAGGGTTGTGACTGTTTGCTGTGGTTCTGAGGACAAGAGGTGACTTGCTAGCTTGATTGAGTCAACCTCACTGACAAAAGTTTTATGTTGGGATAATACAATTTTATTATGACATCTCTCTTGTGAAATCCCTGCAGAAGGAGCACAGAAGGATGCCTGCCTTGCTGGCAGCTTCATCCCATCTCCCATCAGTGCCCTTCTTGCCCTGGGGGAGGCAACAAGATGACTGCTGTGCCCTGTGTGGGTCCATGGGTAGGAAACTCAGGGGACTTTTCTTGAGATACTTGCCGTGGGGAGAGTGGGGATCTCATCTGGATACAGCCATGGAGGGAAGGCTGAATAGGGGGTTAGCATCAGGAGGGACGCAGGCAAGTCAGGTGGGGAGCCAGAGGGACACCATAGAGGGGCAGAGAGCCAAACTGCCTGTAGAGGGGTAGTTTGAGGACCCACTTTGGCACTATTTGGGTACTGCCCATCTGCATATGTGGATTTCAGGCTTAGCCAGGGTACCCAGGTACAGGTCTGCTGTACCACAGTGAATGTCTCTTTTGCAGCCACATCATCCTTGCGGCGCACAGACACCAGCACTCCCACCCGGCCGTCAGTGCCGGGGGCTTCAGGGGAGAAGACAGCCCTGCGGCTGGCAACGGTCAGGAGCACTCAGGTCAGTGGTCCTGAGGAGCAAGAGCCTTTCTGAGGCTGTAGTGAAATGAGCAAAACAAGCATTGACCTCACCCTCAGAGATGCTGAATCTCAGACTGAGTGTGCTGGAACTTCCTGGGGAGTGCCACTGGCTAGCAGAGCCAGTGGAGAGATGCTAGGGGCTCCTCTGCTGCTTTTTTTCAGGATTCAGTTTGCTTCTCCAGGCCAAATGCCTTTTCACACCACCAACCCTCTTTTCTTGGGATTTGTATACATAAGATAGCCTTTAACCAAAATGAATGCTGACACCAAGGACTTGAAATTATCAGGGCCATTCAGGAGCCTAAATTCTCCCTTCAGACTTATCCTCAGATCTCCAATCTCAGTTGTCCAATTCCCTGCACTTGTTGATTCCTGGTACAGCTGGTAAAGCACCAGCTCTGCACTAGAGGTGCTATGGACCTACAATAAAGCAAAGTTTTCATTCCTAGGCCATAGCCATTCCTCAAGCTCCTGGTGAACGCCTCTGTCAGCACCCTGTGGCTCAGCTGGCAGGGCCCTCCCAGAACCCTCTGATGGTATGTAGTTTATTTTTGTTAAGTGCATTGGTGTTGTCCTGTCAGCAGGGCAGCCTAGGTGGCTTTGGTTCACTGCCCTCATGTCCTTGCTGGCTCATCCCAGAGTGGGGACAAGGTTTATGTGCCCTTTCTGTTGCTGAGATTTACCTGCAACAACCTTATTGCAACCACTTATTTCAGGAAGCAGAGAGAGCAGGTAGGACACTCAAAGAAATAGCATAGGAGAAGGTTTACACTTGTCAAAAGTGTTGTGGGCTGCTGAAGGCTTCTCCCTGGATCTCCAGCAAACCAAAACAAAAACCCCAAGAAAAAGGAGCCACAAAACCGTAACGACAAGGTCTGTCCTTACAGGGCTTTGATGTCTGTGCAGTAAATGTTCAGACTATAAAACAGCGATTGAAAATGGCCAATGTGGGTGCAAAGGATGGATCCCCAGGTGAGATTTCAGCCTAACTTGGGCTTGGCACCTGCCAAATATTAGCAGCAGAACTGGAAGCTCAGCCAGGAGGTGTGGCAAGGGTTTGGATGCAGTGTCTGCCGCAAAATATTAGTGGGCTCTAACCAGAAGGTTATCCTGGGGGACAGGAGAGTCCCATGTATAGACACTTCATCTATGCAGAAATTATAAAGAAAACACCTGGAGGGAGGCACTGTGTGTGAGCCAGATGTGGTGCTGCTCTGAAACTACAGTGGCATTTTGGTTAAATATGCAATTGCTATTTTTTGTCAGCATTGTATTTTTTATGGCAAAAGCTGAAAAGCAGTCATTTTTCTGAATCAAGCATTGCTATGGATGTGAGTAACAGGATTGGTCCTACCCCATGGTCCTCTTTCTCTGTTCTTTGCAGCCAGTGTACCACTTCCCCACCCAACTGGGGATGATGCACCAGCTGAAAGAGCAGCTGGAGGAAAGGACTCGCATACTGCAAGCTGACATCAAGACGCAGCAAGAGGAGCTCCATGTCATCAAGGAGCAGCTCCAGCTCGTGCAGGACTCAAACCTGCAGGTACCTGCTGCTCCTGGTGCTCCCAAACTCACCAGCCATTTGCTTTTCCTTTGAGCACACGGAACAGTAACAAAATTGTCTGTGGCAAAAGCATTGGGGACTGAACTCTTGACAAATCGGTAACTTGGTTTCAGATGTGGAAGTGGTGTTTCCCGAGAGGTGAGGTCAATATCTGTCTGGGTAATTAATCAGTAATTTTGGTGATTTAGAAAAAAGCAATCCCAAATTAATCCAAAGTCTCCCATGCACAAAAGTTTGGTGGTTCTGTGTCTGATTAGTGCTGCTGGATCCCCTCTGTCACTCCTGCAAAACACAGCAGGCACAATGGAGCTCGAACAGCCCTGGCTCCAAATAAATATTTGACACAAGTTAACATTTGATTTTCTGTTACTTGGTTCATTTTGCCCCTGGGTTTAGAGATACTGCTGCTGCTGTAGTGTTATTTCTGCCAGGCAGTACTACCAACAACTCCTGTGCTTCTTTTACTTAAAGATGCTGATGCAGCAGCCGATCCCTGTCATCTTAAACACTGTGCAGCAGCTGAGCCCCCGGAGGCCGCCGCCGCAGGGGACGCCCAGGCAGACCACAGCCAAGAAGTCACAGCAGCCAGTCCTCATGGGGACAAAGCACTACTGCAGCACCCACCTGCTGTCACCGCACCCATTCCTCAGGGACCCCTGTGGCACAGTCCCCCAGGTCACTGGCTGCTTCATTGTCATTATCCCCTTTCCCAGCTTCTAAAAACTTGCCTGCCATGTCATTCCTCCCCATGGTCCCATACATTTTCTCTGTGTTGGTTTTACTGCATAGCTGGCATTGAGGAATTTGAGTCAGGAGTCAGTTGTGAACAATGTCACTCAACTGTAAAAATAAAAACCAGGAAGCCAAAAAGCATTTAAAGCCCAAAGACTGCTGGAGCCCTCCTGGTGACTGGGGAGGAAGTCAGTGGGAGGTCTGAGCTCTCATCAACATGGTGTTCATGCATAGTCAGTGAGAGCTGTGGTTTCATAACACAGGAGTAAGTATCATTTTAAAAGATTAATTTTGTTCTACCTGAGGAGTCTTGGAAGGAAGCTTTGAAAAAACAATTTTGTCATCACTAGATCAAAATCCACTATTAAAATAGGAAAGATGTGTTCAAAACCAAAAAAGACCAAAACTGCTGCTTTAATTACATATGCTTTCCTTGGATACTTCAGATTTGCACTTCCCCTCTTAAGCTGTTCTCCTCCTCCTCAAGCCTTTTGTGCCCTTATCCTTGTAGTCTAATTTCTCAAAAGACTATCTGGGGATGCCAACACCTGCCCTGCAGGCACTATAAATGCTGATGGATTGAATAGATATGATATGATATGATGGTCTTGAATAGATACCTGTTCCTACTGCTGTGTTCAGGAGCAATATCCTATTGTTCCTTCTCCTTTTCCCATCTGCCCACTGTAAGTGGTTATTTTGTCCTTCCACTAGGGAGGTTTAAAATTTACGTGAGTACCTATGTCTTCATTTCAGGTACAGCAGCAGAAGCAGCAGCATCCAATAAGAGGAAGCCAAGGCCAGCAATTATGTGTGCCAGGGCAGGCAAGCATTTCAGTGCCCTTCTACAACAACCCCATGGTGTTCTCCCAAACACACCCTATCACTGTGGCTGCACAGGTGCCAACTGACAGCAGTGAGAGGCAACCACCAGCTGACTACAGCCAGGACAGGAGCCTCAGGTACCCATAGCCCTGCTGGGACCATCCCAGGAGCAGTGACAGAAAACAGCAGTACTTGGGCAGCAAGGAGGGAAGGTGTGGCTGGGCTCAGGGCAATGGGCTTGGGATGCCACAGCCAGCGTAAGGATGCTCCCTCTGCAGAGGTGAGCCTAGTGTGCAGGCAGTCAGGGTGCTATGCACATCATGCTGTATTATCAGAGGCCTTAAATCCTCTTCTCTCCCTATTTCTATAGATTAACCCTGCCCTCTGTCAGTTTAAAGTCATTCTGCCTTGTCCCATTGTTCCATGCCCTTGTCAAAAGTCCCTCTCCTGCTCTCTTTTAGCCCCTTTAGGTACTGGAAAGTACTATAAATTGTCCCTGGAGCGTTCTCTTCTCCAGTCTCAACAATCCCAATCTTCTCAGCATGTATTCACAGGAGAAATGTGACGTGATAAGAAGCATCCTATTTCATTACCTTGTTTAGAAGGTAGTTGTTTACCTGCTTTCATGGAGGATTTTCAAGTTGTTTCTAGAGACTGACAGGACCTTGGCCCTCTCCCTTCCCTGACCAACCTCTTTGTTCCTTCCACCACAGGATGCTGTTGGATCAGTCCATCCAAGCCATGATGCCCACAGCCAACAGCAATTGTCAGCCATTGCAGAGCAGCGCCAGCAGGCAGCAAGGAAAGTGAGTCTCTGCTTGCCTTTATTTTTCTGCAGTGTCTTAGCAGGACACTTTAAGGTGCTGAAAAAGACATGGAAAAACTTGAACCTGGTCACACAAACAAACAGTCTCAGTCTGAAATGAAACAAAATTTCAGCCAGTTAGGAAAAAAATGAGAATATTTTTTAATTACAAAGAACTTTATAAATAAAGTGTGTTGAAAAAAAAAAATAAATTTCTGGCTTTTGCAAAGTATCAAATGCTTGACCAAGACGAAAAGAAAATGTACAACCTTAAAAACCTTATTTTTCAGCAGTTCTAGTCCATGCTTTGTGGGCAGAGGGGAATTAGGGGCTGCCTGTCAGCAAGGCCTGCACCAGCTCTGCTCCAGGCTGGTTCCTGCAGCAGCTGGGCTCCCACTGCCCATTCTGAGGGTGGGTTTTGGTGTGGGTTCTCATGACTGGTTTTCCTCCTTGTGGCAGGCTTGTTGCAGAGCAGCAGACCCTGCCTCCCCCAGCACAGGTGCAGCCAGTCACCTGCAGCACCATCAGACCTCCAGCCCCACCACCCATCTTCTCCCCGTCTCTAATGATCCCACACTCCAGCTTCACATCCCACCAGGCCAGCACACCAGTTCATCTGCACCAGTGGCCACAGCAGCAAGTTCAGCAGCACCACCTCTACCTTCAGGTATTGGAGCAGGCAAAGATAGTAGAAAAGAAAGTGAGAGGAGTAGGTATAGCTGAAAAGCAGCCACACAGCAGGACTGGATTTAGAGTGAAAATTAATTGCTGTTGTCAGCAAATGTGGGCATGAACTGTCCCTGCTTCGGGTATGTGTCCTCATGGGCTGCCTTGTGGTCCTGATTACCAGCAGTGTGGACAGCAGAATGATGATGCTGGAACAGATAAATAGCTCCAGGTCCACAGTAAACCAGAGTTTGATGACACAGTGCCTTTAGCAGGAGGTGAAATAGCAAGTCCAGGTCTTTGAGGTACCTGTCATGGGTGGATATATGGTTGCTCTAGGATCTCTTCCTTGGGTGTCTGAAGGTCTTTCCCATGAAAGATGAAAGTTGCACATCCTGCAGATTGTATCTCACATACAGCTTTTGGAGGTCTCTATTCTTGCTGGGCTCCCCATGAGCCTGTTAGGACAGATGAGTCCCAATTCCCCTCTGTGCTCTCCAGGCATTGTTGGTTGTGCTGACAGCAATAGCATTCTGAGGAGCACAGTTCATACCCTCAAGTTTAGGACTTGGTGCACACACTCCTGGGCACGAGTCTCAGCATCAGCCCTGCTGCACGAGAGGGACAGCTGGGTGATGGGGCAGATTTGTGCTCAGATTTGTGTCTCCCAACAGATGCAAGGTCCTGAGCTGGTGCCTGGGGCTCCGATACAACGCATTTTCCAGCCATCCCACACTCCACAGCAGAATCCCTTGAGCTACTTCCTCCATCCGCAGCAGCAGAGCCACCACACACAGGGCCAGCCCTGCAACTTGCCTGACCTGCCCGAGATGCAGCTGCCATGAAAGTCGGTTCTGGGAGACAAGGCTGCGGCTGCTGTGCCCAGGCACATACAGGAGAGCAGGACGCCAGCACAACACAGCACAGGAAGAGGTTGGGCTCCATGGGGAGATGATGGCTGGAGGGATGATCCCTGACAGGGATGCATGGCTGCAAGAGCCTCGTTTGTTGGGTTTTCCATGTTGCTGTTCCAGCAGCAGGGTGTGCCCTGGCTTGGCACCGTGGTGCCACTGGAAGTGGTGGCTTTCTTGCTGCAGGGGGGTGTGGTAACAGGCCATCATGAAGCTCAGTTTGCAATGGAAAAAAACCTTTTCCATTCAGGATTTCAATGCTGAAAGTCACTGTGAATTTTAGCCCAGCATTTGGAGCACATAGACTGTACCAGTCTGCAGGACACCATTGGATTACCATGTACATAACTCGTTTTGCTGTAGTAGGTCCATTGTGAATTCTTTTTCCTTTTTCTATACCTCAGTCCCACAGGTTTTTTTTTCCAGGAGTTTGGATAATGCTGCTAATCTACATAACACCACTTTTGCCTGAATTTCTTACTGTTGTTATACCAGCTCACATCGCAGCTAGTACAATATTTGTCATGTTTTACTTTTGGTTAACAAGCAAAACATAAAAACATACAAATTTATATGTTTTTATGTTTTTTACTCCCTGTAGCCAGATATTTTTCGGTTACAGAAAAAGAATCTTTTTCTTTGTTAGTTTGTTTCAAGTGAGGTAGTTGTATATGTTTCTATACATGAAAACAAGCAAACATGCATAGAACAACGTATGACAGCAAACTTTGTGGTTTTGCTAGGTCATGTTTCAGTTTGGCAAACCCAAAATGTATAATCAAACACATGATTTTTACAAGCCCATAGGGTCAGCAATAAATTGTATTTTTGTAAATTGTCACTTTTTAATGGTAAGTTTATATTTATGAATTGAAAAAGTTTATTCGTCAGTGGGTGTATAGTTAAGTGTCCCTACTGTTTGTGTCTTTCCAAAGGAAAAATTAAAAAGTACATATTTGAAGTGTTAGTAGCTGAATACTAACTTTGGGCATTTTTACATGCCAAATGTAGATGGGTTTGGCCATTACTATAAACTTCGCAAGGCAGTGGTTAGTTAGGACCAGGTCCATCTACCAGTAAAGCTCCAGCTGGCAGACAGCAAGGTTTAGAGAGGAGTTAGTTCCTAATGTTTAGTTCCTAATATCTGTTGAAATCAAGAAAAGCATGCTTGGTTTTGCCTTTTTTTTTTTTCCCTTAAACAGTGTTTTTGGGGTTTTTTTTGTTTCTTTCTTTTCCTTCTACAAACCACTTTCTGGGCCCCTTACAGCACTGCAGCAGCTGGTGTTCCTGATGTTACTGGTGGAGCAGCTTTTGGCACAAGCAGCTGCAAGCAGCCCTGTGTTTCAAGAAAAGGGTGCAGTGGGGCTCCTCCAGCCCTGGAACACCAGGGACTCTTTTCCAGCAGTTCTTCCTGGGGAAGGGGATGGGTTTTTGCTGTGCCACATTGTATGGGGGAGTCGCAGTGGGAGGACAGGCTACTGGAGCTGGGACCAGGCAGGAGCTTTCAGGGACTGGTGCAAGGCCCTAGGGTGCTTTGGTGTTTTGGCCAGGTTAGAAGTGGATATGTGAGCAAAAGCTGTGCCAACCTGTGGCTATTCTTGGGTGCCCTCCCTTGGGCAAAGCAGCTGCACGGGTTAGCTTTGACTGGGATGTTAAATGCTCAGCTCCCAGGGGTACCAGACATGATGGATCAATGGTGGCAGAGCTGGCCACATGCAGCATTTTGGGGAATGTAGTTGGCCACAGAATAGAGCCAATGAGATGCCCAGCAGCCTGGGGTCCAAAATTAAGGCTCATGCCTTGTCAGCACAGTCCCTGGCTGGGCCCCAACCCACACAGCACATACAGCCCCTGGGTGCTGGGCTTGCTTGTACAAGCTGCTCTTGTACACATTCTGAGCCAGCCCCTCCATTTCAAACCATGACAAGAAATCATGACTACCACAGAGTCATGGGCCAGGGCCACCTCACTGCTGGTAGTGGGATTTGGAACACCTGCCTTTATGGGGCAATCTGGAGCTGAAATAATAACACCCGGGGCTTTCCTGCTCTGCATGTTTGTTCTGCAGTAAGGGCAAGAACAGAGCCTTCAGAGTAGGAAACTTCTGTTTCTAAAGCACTATTAGTTTTAGGGTCTCCCTCTCCCCATTCTAAGGCAGCAAGGGTTGCTCATGAGGATGCAGAAGGAAGGAGTTGTATTTTTAGGAGTTGGTTGTGGGATTTTTTTCCACCATAGCCTTGGCACATAACATTAGAAGGGAAGCAAACATATCTGTGTTAGGGCTCCAGCATTGCAGTGTGTAGCTCAAGCTGTGTGGCTGGAGGGAAAGAACATGATTTCCCTGGCTTCCCCATTAAACCTGCATCACCCCAACACATCCCCATGGCTGGTCTGCAGTGTCCCATCACCACAGCGCCCAGCAGGTGGCAATCAAATGGATCTTAGAGGTGGTGGTGTTTGGGGTCAGGGGCTAGAGAGTTGTATTTTTTTAACAGAGCTTGGTAGGGAAGTAGCTGAGGCAGAGCAGTTTTCTGGCTTTGCTGTGGCTTTGACAGTGAGTCCAAAAAAAATAGGGTTGGGGAGGGGTTCGGGGGGGGTGTGCCAGATGGGTCTGTGCCCTGGGCAGAGCCTTGCTGATGGCAGCCCTGGTCTGCAGGGACAGAGGGCTGGGGGCAGAGCCCCTGCTCACAGCTCCCAGCAAAGGGCACAGCAGCTTAGTGAGGATGTTCATATATTAGAACAGCCTTGTTAAAACCAGAGACAAAAAAAATGCACTTTATCATGGCCTCCCCCAAACTCTCAGAGCCCTCCCAGCCACTGGCCTTGCTGCTGGTGCATGGGGGCTGCACTGTCCCAGGCACTGCCTCACAAGCAGGGCCTTGTTTTCTCAACATACTCCAAAGGACAAAATCCCACCGACCCTTTCTGGGGCTTGCTTGGTCTTTGCACAGTCTGCCTCCAGCCAAGGGCAAGTCTGAATCAGGGCCAGGGGGGTTTTGCCTTACATTGTCACTCTCAAAAAAATAGATGGATAAAAAAATCTCTTTGTTCAGGTTGAATTATATTTGTTTACCTCGGTGTTAGCTATGACCTGTGTTTTTATGACTCATTTCAAATTGGGGGTTGCTGGTGGATTTGGTTCATAACCCCCCCAGCTGCCTACAAGAAAACCTAAGTGTGATTTGTTGGTGATAAGCAGAGGGCAGGGATGTAACTGATAGCAGCAGGGCTAGCCTCCGGTATCAGTGTTGACCTATCAGTCATAATGTTCTGAGGTTTTCTATTACACAAGTACCTATATAACTATATATAGATATACACATTTTTAATATACATTTATATGTATGCAGATGTATATCTATATATAAATAGAGATAAGCCACACAATTCCAGATGTCTGAAAACACGGGCAGCTTTAAATAATAAAGTCTTGCACTTTTAGTATATTTGTACATATAAGCTAATGCCTGGTGGGTATAATCAGGCTGATTTGACAAACACAATGAGAAGTTACTGTATATATTGTATATAGTCCATGCAAGAAAAAAAAAATAAAAAGTCTAGAATTGAGTATAAGTCTTGGTTTATTTTATATGATGTTGAATATAAATACATTTATAAATGGTACTATTCTTAAAATTATTTTGTAATGGGAAAAAGTGTCTTATGAAGATGAACAGTAAAGATTTTATTCTTGTTTTGAATCTATGTCCCTGCACAGCTCCACTGGATGGGAGCCCATGTATTATGATGAGCTTTAAACAGATTGTATATAGTATTTAAAAAAAAATTAAGATGAAATAAAATAATACTTGTAGGACCTCTTTCACACTATTGTACTCACGTTATTCCCTGGGTGGTGTGGATCTGTTGGGGATCAGGATCTCATCTCTACTCTCCAGGACAGGAGCAGCAGCCATTGGGTCCATGTGCATGAGCAGCTGAAGGAACAGGGCTTAGGAAAAGGACTGGGATTTCTGTGACTAGTGCCAGAGGCAATAGGAGCAATGTATAAATTGCTCCTATTGCAATTTATACAAGAAACAAGAAATACAAGGCCTCAGGGTCAGCACACTGTTTGAATTTGGATGCAAAACACAAGTGCCAGTGTTCACCAGTTCATCACTGAAGCCAGCTCAGGCTTCAAAATCCAAGTCTCCATTTTTCCTCCACTTATGGGAGGCTGCTGTCCCAGCAGGGGGTTTGGATTGCTCCTTATTTTGCAAAGCACTGACTAAATGCGGCTTTAGCATGACCAACGCACTTGAAGGAACCTCCACAGTAAATAACAGTGCCTCAAACACAAGGGTTTTTTTCTTAAGGGAAACAATATTTTAACACCCCATCTATCTTACAGTACCTCTGTGTACAACACATTGTATAAAAGCCAATCTGCCAACACAAACATGTGCTGCTGTCTTGGTAAAGTGACAAAGCTATAGCAAAAAAGACAAAATAGCCTATTTTTCTGGAAACAAATCAGAGTACTTCTTTCTGATTATTCAGCCATTAGAGTGATGAACAAGTGGTTTGTTTTAGGAATGGATGGAAACAGAAAGTGATTTTTCTGTATCACATAGCAGCAGCCACTTTCATGTCCTGGAAAATGTTACTGGTTTAATTACCATCAGTTGTCCCCCATGGTGGAAAGAGCTGGTATTTTTATTGAGCTATTCCCTCCCCTCACATGCCCAAGCCCTGAGCTGGGCCCACAGAGGCCAAGCAGCCAGTTCCTTGTGAGGATCAGGGCTGCCACTGATCACCCAGAGCACAGGGAGCAGTGTCAGGCACCAGAGCAGCACATTCCATATGGCAAAACCAGGAGCTTCACAGCTTTGTTGGCTGTGTCCCCAGGTCACTAATTACATCTGACAAAAGACATCTTAGTACACAGCAAAACTGGCCCAGCCACGAGAAAGGACTGTGCAGTGTCCCCTACAGCCACTGTCAGTGTTGCGGGGTAACCATGGCACAGCTGCCAAGTTACACTGCAGCAGGCACTGCAACTGTCAAACTGGACAAACATTATCAGTAGTTGTAGCAATCTACAGCCTACCTACAGTTGTCTGTTTTGTACTGAATGATGCATCTTCGTTTATTTCCTATGACTGAACCTGAAAATAAAGGCAGAAAACTTAATGGAAACTTACAGAAAAGTAACACAGGTGAGTGATGTGACAAAACAGAACTCACTTAACAAAGCTGCTTCCTGTTCGTGTGCACACCCAGCACCCTGAGATGGTGATGGGAGGCTGGGACCATCTCTGTATCACCAACTTCATCTGGCTAAGAAGCAGCACGACACAGGGATCTCTGTCCCTGACTCTGCAGGGCTTTGAAATCAAGGCATCACTCTTCAGGAGTGAAGGAAAGGAATGAGCTGCTGTTGCTTCAGCTCTGCCAGTCCCAGCTAAACCTGCACCTATTTGTTGGACAGCCTGTCTGGAATAGGGAGAGAAGGAGCTGGAATAGGAAAGGGAAGGAAAGAAGCTAGACACTAACTCCAGAGTTCTTCTGTCACAAGCAGAGCTCAACTTACAGTACACTGAGGTAGTAGCTCAGCAAACATACCTCTGAGCTACACTTCTCAGAAATCACTGGCACTTGCTACATCTACATCTCCCCAAACAATCAGCTTATGATCAAGAGGTTCCAAAGGGAAGGGTTCCAAATGGCTGGGCCATTGCCTGAGTGCTGGCAGCCTATTGGAAGTGACCTTGCTCCACCCTCCAGCCTGCTGAGACTGGATGCCTGGTCACTGTGACTAGTCTTCCTGGATCAGCCTGCAGGTGTATTACAGGAACAATTTAAAGACAACACCCTTTTTGGGAAAAAATAGAAACAAATTGAACAAAAAATCCATACAGTTAATAAAAGTTAGTGTTCCCCTGCATGTCCTAACCACTTACCTTAAATCTATTTGGATATCTATATGCTCTTTACACATAGATATGACATCTGACAAGAGCTACTACACAGCTGGCAAAGGGTCTACAGTCTCTTGGATAGGCACTTATAGAAAACGGTATCATACAAACTGAGCACCTTTTTTCAACCATGTAGCAACAGAAGGTTGTTGTACTTTGCAAGTTCCCTCACCTTCTTCTGCACTTAGATCTTCACATCTTGGCTCTCAATCAAAAAAGTCCTTGAGTTTTTAGACTTTTATCTCTCTGTTACCTTGATTAGCAAATAGTTCAGAGCTTTGACTACTTGTTAACATAAACAGTACCTCTCATAAACCTACAAAAGGTTTTGGTATGGGCAGCTGTATCTCTTCTCATGAGGCTCCATTAATTTCATCATGGCTATTTGCAGAATTACTCACTGATCAAACCTTATCTGGGTACATCCTGGACATTATCATCTGCTTCATACTTCTAAACAATTTTGTGAAAACATTTTTAAAAAGTAATACAGTGTGTCCCTATTCATATCCACATAAATGGACAAAATAGTTTTTATGTTTTATACATAAAAATACAAATCAGCACTATATTGTATTAAATGAAATTACTTCGTGTGGGCTTCTGAAAAAAGCTTCCTCATTCTCCACATACATGATATATGAACTTTTGGGCTTCTTCAGTAAAACTTTATTTTACATTAATACCTGGGCGTATTGAGGAGAGTGTAAGACATAATTCATAAATTTACCACCAACTGCAATGATAGCATTTCACAAGTGCCTGTAACACAAGTCAGAAATTCTTTTTATTCCTCATTCACACTAGTATTGCAAGAAAAGCCTCAGAAAGATACCATCTCTATTCTACTTCTTTAAAAAAACATGCACAGTGAAAAAGTAATGCTGCTCTGCAGCACTTTGCTATTGTTGTTAAAATACAAGCTCTTATCCTCCTCCTCTAAATGCATTCTAGCACCAGCTACCAAAGATTCAAGGTCTTGAGTCTTTTACACTGGCAGAGCTTTCCTCCACAGGATCTCTACTGTATCATATTTATATACTAAAAATTTCAAGTCAGATTCAAGGGGATCTTCTTGTTGCCTTGAATCCCAACAGATGGAAAATATTACAGCAGCAATAATCCAGAGTGCTATAGAAAATCAATAGTAATTACTGGGTTGAGATACGGACTCAGGGTAGGCAAAGAAGCAACTGCAATCTGTCTCTAAGCAGCTCAATAGTCAACACTCAGCTGCAGATGGCCTGTGCTTGAGTTTTCCAAACACCAGCAAAACCCTACATTTCATCAACATGCTCCTAAGAAGCCAACAATGGCTCCTCTTGCCAGATAAAGTACAACCACCATGTGGTCAGACAGATTTAGATACTGCCCCTTTATTTTAAACAATCAGTAGTATTAGTTTCTGCATCCTTGTGCTGCCTGGATGACCAAATAAGCTTCCATCCTTTTCACCTTTTCTTTGTAGGAGGATTTGGTATAAAAATGGGAAAGAGAGGCTGGAATCTGCTAGAGTCCAGACCCATGGACAACATCAAAGCAGAGGAATTGTGAGCATAGAACTTCCTTTTCTAACCTCATGATCTTGTGCTACCACAACCTCTGTGCTTAGTCTTCACCCTGCTTTGACCCCAGTCCAAAAGCAATTTGGAAATAACTAATTAATGTGGAAGACAACCTCCAAGCTGCTGACACTCCTTTAAAGTGAAAAAGGGAAAAAGTCATTCCTTTTATCACAGTAATAGAAAAGAACCTTGAGAACACCTACTCTAACAACAGTCATTCAGACGGGTTTGTAACAGGTACACATCCAGTATCTCTAAGCAATGCTGCATGTTTTAATAACACAGTAAAGAACTTAATTAATTAATATTCAGTCCCTTTTTTTTGAGTGAAACTTAGAACGCAAGAAAGTGACTGTGCTTCAAACTATTTTTATTTACTTTACATACCAATAATCTGATACTTAAAGCTAATTCTTCAGAGTTCATTCCCTATGTCAACACCAGACTTGATTTCCACAGTTACAGGCTTCATTTGTAAGCACTTTACATGATTAATTCAGAGTCAAATGTAAAGAAAATTACACTCTGATTCTTGCTTTAAGTTGCAAATTCTTAGCACTCCCTATTTTAGCTTTTATGTCATGAGGTTTTTCAAAAAATCTCACAAAGGCTGGCTCATTTAATAAAGATGCCAGAATCTGTTCAAAGGCAAAAGACCATTCATGGTTCCCTTCCAAACTCTGTGCTCTACTGCTTTCAGTCTGCTCAGAGCTCCTTTCCTCCTGCCTCTCTCCAGGCATTTCAGCAGCCATTTCTGTAACATTAACTGGACTTTTGACAGGTGATATGGGACTCTGCAGTCTTCTGCCAACTTCTTCCATTTTCAACAGGAGGCTGGTCACTGCTGCGATAGTCTGATACAACAGTTCCTCCTCGGGATCCCCATGGAACAGATTGTAGAGAGTTTTAGAGAACTGGATGAACTGAGACTGAGGAGAGATATAGAGGACACTGTTCAGAGAAGAGCAATACAACTGTACCATTTCACTACCTGTTGTATTCTCAGTCCAGTGCCTGCTGCTGCCTGGCACCTGATGCAGCTGCTTTAATGACAGCATGGCCTAGCCCTGAGAAACCTATGTGTGTCTCAAAGTCCCTCTCTTGATACAGTATAGCAGTTTTAAAAAGCTATAGTCTAATGACTGATGTGAAGACTTGAAATTAAAGGGATCCTACAAATCCTTTAGATTTAAGTCCTGTAACAGGACTTAAAGGGAAAACTTTCAAGACAAAATACACTTAAATAAGACTCAGACAGTTTACCTGATTCATTCTCGGCAAATCCTTGATGCTTTCTTTTTTAAGAAGTTCATCTTGCCATTGTTTCAGATACATCTGAATATCAACCTTCCCCTTCCCTTTTTGAAGGGGAAGAAGTGGGGAAAAAAAAAAAGTAAAAAAAAAAAGTCAACAAACAAACAAACAAAGAGCTTCCCATGAGGGATGATAAGCAAAAGAACTGCCATCTTCAATGTCATTCCTTCTCAAGAGTGATGGGGCCAAGAACTACACAGGATCAGAGTTTACTTTTGCCCTTTTGCTCCCACAACTACACTTATGTAAGAGGATAGAATGTTAACAATGTATTGTGGTTGATGTTATTTACTATACTCTGTCACAACACATTTTCCCAGCTCTACTCTCCCAAAAGAAAAGTTAACAAATGTGCTATCAGGATTCTTTTACCTTTTTCTGGGCTGGTCTTCAAAGAATCACTTTCAAGATTATCCCCAACAGATGAAACTACAATTTAGGGGGGAAAAAAAAATATTTCAGAAAAGAGGACCAATATTTTATTTCCCTTATCAAAAATTCCTTCCTTAAGGGGCAAGACACAATGTTCTCAGCACAGATGACACCAAGAAGAAACCACATGGTAAAATCTGCATAGTTTCTATAAAAATAGAAGCCACTGTGAGGCAGAAGATCACAAATAAAACTGCTATCAGTTAAATAATTCTTATAACCTTCACTGTTCATTGAAGAGTAGCAGGAACAGTACCTAAATATTGTCTACTTTGGGCAGATTTTAAAAACAAAAAAAGGATCTATCTTCCCTATAAAAATCCCACAGATTTCTAGAGTATTTGAAACAGATTATTTTATCAACTCCATAAATTTGCTAAACCTTTTTTAGCTCACTTGGTCTAAAATGAAAGCAAAGAATTTTTAAAAACTTGCTTATGTGCCTCAAAGTAAGTATGGATTTGGTATTTTCATTCTTGAAGCAGGAAATACCATTCCATTATGCCTAGGATGCAAAAATGAAACAGCCATCACTTCAACACCACAATAGACTGCCTACAATGCTGAAAAATGTCCACCAAATACATTCCCCTATTTCCAGGTAAACACCCACAGGCCTTTGAATTCAACCATCAGATGAGGTATCCATAAATTCTCCACAACTTTATTAAATTTTAACTACCTACAGAAGATCTTCACAAGGGATTCTGTTAACAGGGATATGATTTACTGGACTTATAAGTTTTCAGAAGAGAGCTCCCCATTTTTCACAGGATAATTAATAGATTCTTTCTAGTATTCTGCAGGCAAAACCTCACACTCTGCAGCTTACCACTGAGCTGGCTGAAGTAGATCAGTTCTTCTTTTGAAAGCTCATCCCCTTTGGAAGGATTTAGAGATTCTACTTCAGTAAAAGCTGCAATAAATGATCGAATAACATGAGTTCATGGTTAATGCCCAGGCATTACCAAAGCAGTGATAATGATGACAAAAACCAGAGGCAGCTCTCCCCAAATGCCACTGTTTCTCACTTACCTGGAGGGATGTGCAACTTAAAAAGAAGCTTGAGTTTGTCAGTGAAGCTTCCATTATACATCATATCTGTTAGGGGAAAGGACAGTCTATTCAACTGGACCAAACTTTAAAACACCCTTTTAACCTAAACAAATACAACCTAGGGAGGTTGAAACTGGACATGTGCCCTACCTTACAGGGAATACAATTAGATACGAAGATTAATGAGCGTACTGTCACCTGTGGCTGAGCTTGGGGTTAGCCTACACTGACGAAAGAACACTATTAATGTCTATGACTTACTAAAATAAAACCACAGCACCAAACAAATATAGCACTAATGGTCTTAGCATTTCCCTTAAAGTTTTGTTTCCTGAACAATACTACTTTGAAAATAAGATGAAAGAAACAGAGCAGTAAGCCAAGAAAACTTTCAGTTCCCCAGAGGTATAAGGCATCGGTCATCCCGTACAATCTGTGTATAAGATGACTTAGTATGAAAATTTATCATAAACCAAACAGGCTGGACAGTGAGATCAGACCATTCTTAATTTCTGGATATTTTGATGGCCAAGTCATATTTAAACTTGATCTCCAAGAGGGAATTATTCTGTCTAATAAAAATCACACTATTTGACACTGTGTTAAGAGACTAAGTCTCCTTAGCTTTCTGTGTAGTGTATGGAAGGTGATATACCCTAGGACTAGTGCTCATGTATGTTTTGTTGCCATACCAAGAACACAGGCAAATTGTTTGAAGTTTATAAGGCAGTTGGAGCTCTCATCCATCAGCCGGAATGTCCACAGGGCCAGGGAGTCTCTGTTTGCACAGTGTGACCAGGGGCTCAAGAGATGGCAGAGAAGCCTGAACTGCTCACAATCAATCCGGTACTGGTCAAGGTAGGGCAGACTAGCATCGTGATGTTGCAGGACAGGACTATTTGCACTCCAGTAACAGGAAAGAAAATGCTCCTTCTGCAATGCAAAGGTAAAACATTAGATTTTAGGAAAAAACAAGTCTCTCTGGGGGAAAGGTATGAGGAGCTAACTATATAAGCAATAGTACAGCTGGCATGTAAAACATATCTTGAGTCTAACCTTTATCTCTATTTATTAAAACCATTTCAAAGCTTACCGTTAAGATGGCTGTTTAGTAAGTGCAGAAAATGGCAAATTACCTTGAATAATTCATAAAGCTCTTCAAGATCACTAGGACTGAATTTTACTTCTTGAGACACAACACGTAGCTGAAACAAAATTAAGAAACAATTAATTTATGTATCTCCCCTCCTTGGAATAAAGCCTGTAGAATAAAATTATGGAAGACTTAACATTACATTCAGAGACACTGTTTGCATACTCCAGGTTTTGGCATGTTACTATTACAAGTAAGAATAGCACTTCTAAAAAGTAATCAGAAGATTATAGATTAAAATAAATAATTTCTTAAAAAAGAGAAAAGCTTAAGCCTAGTCATGTTACTAACATACATGGAGCCTACACTATGAAACCCAGGAGATAAAACTCGATTATTTATAACTACGTAACACATAGCTTCTTTTAAATGGACAAATGCATGTTGAACTCTCAACAGTGAAGCTGAATCCTCATTTTTTTAAATTACAAAAAAATTGTTCACAGCTTTTAAAAAGCAAAGTTTGGTATAAGACCAGCTTCCTACTTCACAATATATATGTATTGTAAAATTAATTACAACAATATCACCTTAGCATAACCACCAGCAATTAGTTCCCGTTGCTATAAGCCACATATACTACAGAAAGAAGCACTGGGTGGTGGACAGACAAGTATTATCATAAGGTATAGGAAATGAGCCACTGTAGAAAATAGGCAAACAAAGGTAGCTACTCATAACCTACACCTTCATTGGTGTAGAGCAGTCTGAACTGAAAGGAAGAGACAGGCAGATGGAGAAGTGCCACATTACCAGACATTCACACACAACACAAAAAAAAGCAACCCCTGTTGAATGCACTACAATAACCTCTTCAGTGCTGCTTCCCAGAGCAAAAATGCATGTGCTTAATTGTTTTACTGTATGATGCTCAATGCCTCTAATAGAAAAGTAACATCAGCAGACAGAAATACAGGTCAGCCTGTTCCAAGCCACACAGTGTCAGAGGTACACCAGCCTTTAGAAGTGGTTTGCAATGGTATTACTTGTAATAAGAACAGGAGATCATGATGTGATTTACAGACTGAAAATATCACAGGCCAAGCCTCAGTTAACAGACACCCTGCAGACATGGGGGAGTTCTATATAAATTAATATATAAGTTTTATATAAAATCATATATTTGGCCCTGGAAACTGCAGGACTTGTCAGAACCTTCCAAAAGGGAATGAATTTTATCAAGGTGAAGGCTGACATTCTTCCTAGTCACTCACCACATTCTGCTTGGTCATAGTTTCCAGGGTCTGGATCACATAAAGCCTGTTCCTGCAGCGCAAGCTCTCAACATCCTCATAGCGAATATCACCGTATCTCTAAGAAGAAAAGCATCATTCAATGCAATCAACTGTTGGGAGACACATCTAAACAAGTATTTTTGTCTTTCTTGCATCTAAGCACAATACAGGCATGGACACAAAGGAAGATCACAGAAACTCTGAGGAAAAAATAATTTATTAGAGCACTAACATTCTCCTTAACCAGTGTGATTTTTAAAAGGGTGTTTAGAAGTGTTTCAGAGAGCAACGGAGAAAGAAGAAACTGGAGTAGTTCCCTGTGTGGGAGGACAAAGAAAGGGATTTTACTGTGTGTTGGCTCTATACCCAACTCTGCTATCACTTGGTGACTACTACTGCAAGGCAGGAAAGTCTAAGATGTGCATGTTGTCAGGGACTGAAGTTCACTCCAGTGTAATTAAGAAATCAGCTAAGTAATTTCTGAATCATTCCTGGCTTCCTCTGTAATTTCTAAAGGACATGAAAGGTGTCTGCACATTGGAGTGAATAAATGCATTTATCTTTAAGGAAAAGTGGGATAGGGAGGCAAAAACTAGAAACAAATTACCAGAGAAATCTAAACAATTAAAATCTGAATAGAAACTAGGAGATCAAAACAGAACAACATTCTTTATCAAGCAAAACTGAGTTTCTGTTTCTTGACATTGTTCACCCCACTAAAAGCAGCACCCTCTTCTTAGGAAAAAAATCAAAGAAGACAGTTTCTAAATTGTACAAATTACAGTTAGTTAATCTTTTCTGAGTGTCAAGGTCAGGACACTTTTTCTAAAGAGATGTACTTTTTTTACTAAACACATGACTGGGAATCAGAAAACAAAAGAAGTATCACACAGATAAAAGAAACTAGTTAACAGAAAAAGCAAACTGTGAACTTATCTTTTCTCTCAGCTTGCCTTTCACTTCCAGTGGTCTGAACAGAAACCTATCTACAAATAGATTAATACTCTGATTCACATGATGGGAAGAGAAAAAAATGTCTCATAGAAATCTGGGGACAAAAATGAGAAACTAGATTTCCTCCCCAGTGCAGAGCTCCAAAGCTTAATATTGCAGAAAATAAACTAGCAAATTGAAAGAAAATACTAAATGAGCATAGCTGATCTTCCTCACACAACACATCTCTAGATGCCATTTAACTCATACCATAAACTACTCAAATACACAGCTTCCCATATATATTATGTCAAAAGTCACTAGGATCTGCAATGTGCAGTAATCAATCTCCAATTAGTATAACACAAAGGCTGTCTCTGTATTTTGTCATTTACTTAACATACTAATAATAGGGATGAGGGATGGTAACACATGACCTGTGATGAATCTTGGGAACTCTACTCAGGAAAAACTAGAAAGCACCTTCCTGGCACTTGAAAACCCAAAACAACAGAACAGCAAACCTATCTCATAACCTATAAGATTTTCAGTGAGGGTCAACAAAATACAGCGCCAAATTTCTACTATTCCAGACAGCTTTTTCTACCCTAGTTTGTACAATGCAACTACACTGTTTCAAAGTAGTCCATGAAACATTAAAACTGCACAGGATGCAAAAACATGCCCACAAGAACACATACTTCATTTGATTCTCGGATCAGATCAGTGATGTCCACTTTTGGATGGTCACTCTTTGTATCACTGAGATTGGAGCCCTGCTGCACAGCTGGAGGTAAAGGACTGTCTTTGTTAGTGACACTGTCAAAAAATCTGCACAAAGTAAACATATAAGAAATTAGCAAGAACCAGTTTATCACAAAAAAACAGTAACATTGGTATCTACTGAAGAAAAAGTGTGCAGAGAATGGGAAAAAACAGTATCAGTCAGTAGCAAGTGCTGTAATAGTAACAAAGATACACAAACATGGCAACTGCCCACCCAGAGAAGGTTGTAGAGCTTCTAGCTTTGGGAGTTTTTAAGACTGAGCTTATGTCATCTAGTGGTAGCAGTAATCCTCTTTTGAGTGGGAAGTTAAACTCTTTCCAAGGTCCCTTCCACTTGGCATTCCCCTGGTTTTCTAATCCACATAGCAAGGTTGTGCTAAATTGCAAAGAGAAAAAAGCTGGTCCTGAACTGTGAACAAGACAATCTTAATTCCCCCAGATGTATAAGCCAAAGACATGCCTGATCTGTACCTGCTTATCACACCTACATAACCAGCCTAAATAGATCCAGTGGGGATGCCAGATTTTACAATAAACACCAGACTGCATGGTCTCATAACAAAAACTACATTTTCTACAATAATTCTGTAGCTCCTACCCCATTTAAACATGCAACATATAAAAGCCTCACTAAACAGAAATTCTTATTATCAGTTATTAACAGTCACAACTCATTAAGTCCTATAGCACAGTAATTTTACTGCTCTAATCCTCCATGATACACAACCACAGCATCAACAAAAGAATTTAGTTAATGAAGAAAAAGCTGTACACGTTTTTTTTGCAGTATGTCATTTTAAAGCACACCTCATGTTGTTAACAGAACAAACATCTTGTCATGATTGAGGTCATCACATTTTTTTGGTCTTATTTCTGTTTTAAGCCATTAACAGCAGAGGATTCAGCAGCCTAAACTACAAGAACTAAGCTGAAAAACTTGCTGCCTGTAAGTTGATGTCTGGAACAGTCAAAATGTGCTTTAGATCATCTCATGAAGGCAAGCTGCCTTCTAGACATGATATAAATTCAAGGTAAAAAACACATTGCTTTTTCTTTAAAATTCATGAAATAGTTATGGTTTTAGAAGAACTTTAATATACGATGGGATTTTCAGAGGATCCAAGCCCATTTTCCAGCCACCTCTTCCAGAATTTCAGCCTGAGATGAACACTAACCCCTCTGAAGCCTTTGGCAGTCTTAAGATGTCTCCTCAGCTACTTCCGAATGACTTATCTAAATGCAATTATAGCAGCTGCTATGTAGCCTGAAAGAGTAACAGTTATACTAATACCTGTTGAGAATAGTGACTGCTTCTGCATCATCCTTACAAGTGAGCAACTTCCCCATGTTGTATTCCAGCACTGCAAGGCCCAGCTGCAAGATTGCCTTTATTCCATCATAGAAGAAACAGTCCATCACATTGACTGCACTTTCAATTGGCAGCACACTGATAAAAAGGGTAAGGAACCAGGAGAGAGAGACCGAGGAGAAAAAAGTCATGTCCGTCATGTGGTCTGTCAACTGAGGCAGGTGAACCCTGATGAGCTCCTCAAACACTGCCTGATCTACCAAGGCACCTGCAGGGAAAGGATAACAAAACCACCACCCAAATCTTAACATAGAGAAGCACACTTCTCATAGCACCAGCCAGAAGCAAAGTTCCTGTTCTAGTGCAGCTTTGTTGTACAAGCACACACAGGCCCAGTTGCACAGAACCATTGGCTCCTTCCCCCATGCTGGAAGCTGTGCTTTCCATGCATGGGGCCAGAGCCTTGAGCATGCTTGAAGTGTGTTTGCACTTTGGTGACTGCATGGCTGCTTCCACTAACTCTCCTGACAGCCAGTACATTCCCTCTGTAACAAGAGAGACTTCACACCCCATTTTCTTCTAACATATACACCTATAAAGACTGCATATGAGATCAAAGTCCAAGTCTGGACCTGAAGTAACTCCTTTTCCCTTATCTAAACTGGCTAAGCTTGAAATAAATAGTATGAATTGCAGTTATAATTCCATAAGAACAGTATAAAAGTCTAGAAATATTATATTCTTAGAATACTGACAATATCTGAAAATCACATCCATGCCTATTTAAGGAGGAGTCACAGGATGTTCCCTGTAACCTCCATTTTCTACTCCACAACCAAAACAAATGCAATGGTTTCTCTCCACTTGTCAGTCTTCAGCTCATTCCTTACATTTGTTCTTAATGAAAAATCACTGGCATTCAGTATAGCTAGACATTCAATTCAAGATAGATAAAGAAGCAAATGGATGTTACCAATGATTCGGCGATTGAAATAATCGGGAAGCATCCTTTCACACACAGCAACCAAAAGCCAGAATGCTTCCTCCTCTTTAGCATACAGCAGAAGCACTGATGTCAGAATATTCATTGCCTGCAACATTCAAACAGGAAAGGAAACATTTAAAAGAAAAGACAGTGAAAACACAACTGGTATTATTTCTTAGAATTCGTATTTCTGAAAGAACTTTACAGCACATTTTTAAAGTGCTGGGATAACCTACAGCCATATCCAGGACAAGACTTTTACTTCTATGTTATTAAATACGGAACAGAGTATGTAAAGTTCATAAAAATATTTTTAAGTGCTGTATGTCTGGTTAGAATGCAAATGCACATATTAAGTGGACATGATAGCACTTATAAATTAATTCAAGTATAATGTAAAAACTCATTTTACACAATGGCATGAAATAAGCAAAGTGAACCACTAAGCATGAAACTATTCCACATTTGTGTGACAGATTTTATGAGGTACTACCATACTGCCAACATGAGCTAGTATTTCAACAACCAAACTAAGACTCTAAACTGCTATACCTGACAATACCCAATTTGTGGATTCCTGAATGCATAAGCTGTAAGAACTCTCCTGAGAGCAGAAATTCCTGTGTCACTTTGAAAAGCAGGATGCTCAGGTAGGGAGCGACGTAAATCTCGTTCAATTTCGTCAGTAGCCAAAGTGCATGTTCCTAAGGATTTTTCCACCAACTCAGTATAATAACCAGGGTTGGATGCCATATCATTTACAGCACCTGTAAATAAATACATTGCACTGCACAGTATTAGAGGAACACAGTAAAGCAGTAATTTGTTTGCAATTTGTGTAAAAATGTTGGTGATTACTAAGGTACTTCATGAATTTCCAGATATTACTGAAGTAATGTGTCAGAGTAATTCTACTGAAATGAATGGAATCACTCAGCAATGAAAGTTGCTGACTCCCAAATGATGACTCCCAAAATGAAACTTGTTATGAAATACCTGAGAAGAGTAGCCATAGTTCTCCTCTCAATGCTTCTGGGATGCCTCTTACAACTAGGTCTCGAGTCTTCTTTGTTCGAAACATACTGACTCCATGGCCCAGTTCTGCAAACAGGATGTTCCACGACTGTTCCTTCATTTTTTCTTTCAACTACAAAAAGCAGAAGATAACAAGCATTAAGTATACTGGTAGATTCTCCTCAGGATTCAGAGAACAAAAGTAAATTTTGCTCACAGTTATATTCATATAAACTGTAAACTGTGGCTTTGGCATCCATATTGATGTGTGAAATGAGTGCTGAAGCAAATCAGAGCAAAATCCAGCCTATGCAGAGCACAAATTCAGCATAAAATGCCATCTTACACATGACCTACTATTTTTAAAGTACGTTCATACAAGATGAGACAGAAGGTAGATCTAATCCAGTATCCCATCTCACAGAAACCAACAACTGCTACAGCACAGGAAGTGTGTGTGTGTCAAAAAGACATTTCTCTGAAGCAAAGCAACTGTTGATCAGGTGCTAAAGCTCATGTGAGGCTCCAGGGCTGAGACAGGGTGAATGTCGCCTCTACAATTTCTGTGCATGCAGCACTAAGATTTAACGTTGCTTAAGTGATTAAAGGTGCTGAAAGGAAAAGTAGATTTTGTTCACTTCTGTTCAACATACTATAAAAAGCAGGATTTAAAAATCTGGACTCCCTTTCGTCCTGCTCAAAGGTTATTTATTTTCTGGTATTTCTAATATAAATAATTTTAAGTTACTCAGTTCTACTGAAAGACTTATTTTGAAATAAAACCTGTCTTTTTGCACATACTATGGAAAAGCAAAAATTGGATGTTCTGCTGCAAAAACAATCACATAAATACCTCCAGAGCATAACTTTGTTAGACAGTGGTGCAGAAGAAGAAAACAAGTTAAGTCAATTTCTTAGAACACTCTCCTTGCTCCCAGAGAGTTTGTAGTGATTTTGTATCTTGAAAATTCGATGGAAATGCAACATGATCATTATCATAAAACAAACAGCTAACTCTTCCCTGAAGGGTGGAAGAGCAGGAGAAATTAACTCCATGAAGATAAGGCATATCATTATTAGACAGGACGAGCAGAAAATTGAATGGAGGTACGAAGAAGCACCCTGTGGACTCCAAATACAAAAAATGCAGATGCAAGAAGACTGACAAAGCCCTGAGGAAATCAGCAGCCTGGCTGGAATTCATTTTTATATACTTCACTTCTTTCCAATTTGATTCCAAAAACTGTTGGCCATTTTATCCCTTACCATTTTAGAGTCAAGGTTCTCAGCATCCTGAGGATGGTAGACAGTCATTAGTGCTTCTGTACTGACGGTTTTACTGTTATCTTTCTGGCCCATCTTTGACTGTCTTGCACAAAAATCCTTTGGACTGTCAGCCACAGAACCAGCTGCAACCTTGAAAAAAATTTAACAGTGGTACTCATAATTAACAAACAATTCTCCAAGAAGCAGCACCAGACCATCATTGTTCCTTATATTAAGTTACAAGTGCCAGATACAGACTTCTAAAATAAATTAAAAACAGCAATCCCTGCTCTGCACAGCTGGGCTTTCAGGAGGCTACACTTGGGAAAAAAGCCATCTCTCAGGCAAAAAACGAAATTATGAAAGGAAAAATATTTATAAAGAGAACTGAGAATATGAGACAAAGGCCTGACCATCCATCACCACCAAAAAAAAAACCCATTCATACAGTGAACTATATAGAAAACCCAACAGCATTTAAAAACCAGCATTACAGCTGGAGTTGTTTTTCAAAACCTGATGAAAAACATGGTAAAAGAACCCAAACCAGAATGCATTCACAGTAGCACCATTGTCCAACTCATTCTCTTTCACATGGGCAGAGTTATTTACCTTTTTAAACCTTAAAACCAGAGGTACATGACTCATTCCTGTGAACAAATTCTAAGAAATTAGAATTGCCAGAGCTGTTACCTCAGTACTTATGACGTGTTGTGGACTCACAGTTGCATTGCATTTCATTCTGAGCTTTGCCACAAGCAGTCCAAAATCTCTCACCTCTGTGAAACGAAAAGCTGTTTTCCCTTTGGTACTAATGCTGACTCCTCTATTGGCTGGATCTGCTTTATCTACCCCTGTGACCTATGGAACCAAGGACACATAACATAAATTAAGCAAGGAATTTTACCTGCTTATTTATAAGAGAGAAAACCTGTTAAGAACACATGTGTAAATGAAACAGCATATGAAGCACACAAGGAGACTAGGTAATACAAGTTACAAGTTGAAAGCTCAATTGCCTGTAGCTATTTTAGCAAAAGGCACTAAGTATTATGCAACAGATTTTTGACAGAGCACCAGAAATCTTCAATAAGGTTTTCCCAGCTGTGAGTGCTCAGCTTATTTGAAAACCTGGGGTCCTTCTACCTGCTGAAGCAGATGCTTTTTTCTTACCATACAAAAGCAGAGAAAACATGATTTTTGTAAGTAATCAAATGAAACAAGTTTTACAAGACTGAACTTCCCCTGAGAATACCCTGTCAAAACATCTGTCATAACACATAACAGCTAGAGCTGATTTCATTGTCATGATGGAACACTTACAGATTAGAGCAGTTAAAACAGTTTAATCATGGAAGTTCAAGTGACAATCATGAGAATCCAGACTGACTGGCATTGCTGATGTATTCATATTTTTAAAGGTAAAGAACAGAAAACCACTGAGAACACTGTTATAGGTAAAGAAGGAAAGACCACTGAAATGAGTAACTGCAGACCTGTAGAACAAATAGTGAGGGTCTGACAGTCTATAAGAATAAATTTAGAGCCAGCTCCTTTAACACTGCCTCTTATGATATGGAAGTCTATTATTTGCAGCACTGTTTACAGATAATCAAATAAATTGTTTTATGTAGGTGAGGAACACCAAGTGTATTGCTGAAATTAGTACAGCTCACCCCCTATGTCAGGTGTCTTATGTTAGGCAGTATGTACACAGGGCATGTAAAGCAATTAAGGAGCAATTATAGAACATGGTTTATTTGTAGGCTATTGTAAAAGTGTCTGGTGTTGATGAAAAGCTTTTAACACTGGAAGACTGAAATGTGGCAATGTCCTAGATCACATGAAGTCAAGACAGGAATGAAGAGGGTTGGCTGTTTTTTCCCCAGAATTTATTCTGCAGTCAACTAGAGTACTCTACAGAAATTCCAAAGCTGTGTCCTTTGCTATATGTCTTTATTCTGTCCTTACAGTCTGTTGAGATTGTCAGATGTAATGGCATTGCTACTTACTCACTTGACAACTGGATTTTCCCACAGACTTCTGAACAGTCAGCACTGCTCAACTACTGCAAAAAATTGCACTACTGAGCTGAGAAACACATCAGTGTGATTGCTAACCTTCAAAATCCTCTACCCACTACAATTCTTCTTACCTTGAGAATGTATCATTAACTCACCTACAAGTTTTTTCATTTAATAAAAAAAAGGATTCTGATTTTTTAATAAAAAATTTGGATTCTGTACCAAGCTACAGAAATAAGAGTAAATAGAAAAGAGAAATAAGATAGAGAAACAAATCTAAAACATGAAAGTGGTTCCAGAAACCTACAAACAGAATTCCTACATGTAGTATCCAGGGTAGGGGGAAACACATGACATCACATAAAATAAGGAAATCCTAATGAAAATCGGCTAAAGTGGCATTAAACTGTACAACTGCAAAACTGGTATAACTGACTCTGATTTGTAGTTTGCATTACCTCTCTCAATGGAATGATCACACTGCACAGGCTGCCATCCTGGCTAGCAAAGCAGATGTAGTTTTCTGAAATGCACATTTTCCCAAGGGTGTTACAATGACTGAAAGGAACCCATAAGAAGCACTCATGAACTTCCTTCAAGGACTCTTCTTTAGGCAACCTGAAGAATGCACTAAACTGCTCACTGTGGGCATGGCTCTCCAGGCCTCTGGATTAAAAACAAAACACATTGGTAGAAAAGAGAAAACAAAAATTAAATCAGCTTTAAATATCTTTACAAATACGAAAGTCACAAGTATTTGGGAAAAGACAGTAAAACATCATGCTCTCCTCTCCCATAATCTGTGGGGTCAGTCTGGAGGGTTCAATGCTTTTCTTGAAGAGGCAACAAAGGGCAGAACTACACCTACCTGTACATCCACTTAACAAAGTATTTAAATATGTCACTACATAAGACCAGATTCAATAATATTCTTACATAGAAGAGCACTACAGGGCCTAAAGGTAGTGCAGGAAAGATACTAAGAGCATAATATGCTCGGTTTCCCCACACATCAGAATAATAATTTAAAACTAGAACAAGTTTTGGCTTGAACAGAGGGTTAATTAGCTAGAAATGTAGCACATGTTGTAAACATCTACCATGGGCTAATTTTCCACAGATAACTGCCAGAAACAATATTGTAGAGGAGTATCCCTCTTCAGATTTGCTACCAAACTGAGGAATCAAAGGGAAAGGAAGGACCTTAACCATTAAGTTACTAATATTCATGTCTTTCCCACCACCCAAAATAATATGGTACCTCAGGAAAGCCATGCACCCATCTGCAACTCACTGGTTTTATCACTCACCTCCAGGGACTTTCAGAAAAGCCATGCAGTTATCATTTATACATGTCTATTAAACTACTGCTTCCCCACCTTATCCTTCTTCATCAGATATCTCTGGAGACACCTTAGCTCTAATCTAAATTCTCTAATCCTAAATGCTGCAAGAGCACCTTTTCAAAATTCAAACTAATATAAATGTTTTAGTTGGAAGACCAGCACTGAAGATTCAATCATCTTCTGCCTTCATACAGATATTTGGATCCAGCCAAGTAACAACAAATTACAGTGCCTCATGTAATGGCTTTGGTCCAACATTTTTATGAGACACATGGTTAAGAAAATATCAGCAAAGCGGATATTTACTATCTCCTTGAGACAAGGATTCTCTTCCTCTTTGCCTAAACAAATACTTGGTCCAGAACAGATAAACTATAAGCAATGCACTACCTCTTGGTGATTTGTAGAGGGTCATGAAGGACTGGATCATTCTCAAATGTCTCCTTGTCAAAAAGTCTTCTAACTGCATAGTTTGCCAGCTGCTCCATTAGAAGGAATGTTTCACTCATGTGCAAAAACATGGAAAAATAATGATCTTCCCCACGGGAGCATACATGAATGCTCTCTGTCAGAATCACATTGGAAGTTTTCTCAAGTTTTGATATTTCATCCCAGGAGATAATAAGTTTTACTGAAAATAAAAATGTGAGATAGCTCTCAATATCTGCCTGTATTAAAAAAGAAATGCAGTAGTAGCAGAACTAATAAAATATAATTAAACAACACAGTCAAATGATAACGCACTTGGAAAAGACTACAAACTAATAAGCACAAAAATGCATTTTCTTCATTTTTCCTGAAAATTAATTCCATTAGAAAGAATTTTATAGAAAAACATTAAAACGCACACCAACTATGACAACAAAAGATTACATCACCTCTTCCTTCCTCTTATGTGAAACTGCAAACAGCAAACACCATCCTACAAGCCAACCCCCCTTCAACAGCTCACCAGTAGGGCTTCTTAAATTAAATCCATCATGTATTTGCATGTAGAGGAACTGTGCCTTTTAGCTACCGCATTTCTCAATATAGATCAAAATAAGCTTTGGAAGGATCCTATTTTTTGTATGTTTTCCATTTTTCACACAAATACAGTTATAGTACACACTATTAGAGGTATTTGTTTGGGCATTTCAAACTAATGTTACACAGAGAAAGAGTTATGTGCAATCATCACCAGTGTGTAGTGCACTGACACAAAATACTATGCCTGTGTGTGAAGAAGTAAATAATCCTCATAGACTTAATGCAGCATGAACTAAAGATGATGGACAGCTTTTACCTATAGTCCACTTATGGAAGTCTGCCTTTTCTCTGAAGCTTGAATTAAAAAAGCATAATAATAGACATTGTGTAGTATGCTACACAAATATATCCATTTCCATAAATTATGTTGGCAATTTCTGCTCATCTCTGTTGACATCCACTCACATGGCAAAATAGCTCCCTCAGCACATAGGAAGAATTCCTCCTAATCTGAAAGATAAGCAGTGAAGCGTGAAGGGATGCAGCTTAACATCAAGGTTTACTTACTTTCTGCTCCAAGCAAAAATGAGTAGAAGCTAAGGAAGTTGGTACTAAGATACAGCCATCCTTGACAGGGCACTCTGCCCTTCCAGTAACTGCACGAGTAGTAGGTAATCAACTTCTCCTTCTCTGGTAATCCAAAACACTTCTCAAACTTCATAAGACCTTCACGAAACTTCTCAGGATCATCTTCTTTTACAAAAGAATCTTTTTCCTCTTCAGCAATCAAACCCTACAACAAAAAATCACATTACTTTGTGCATACGTCTATATAGGTGGTTGTCATATGTGCAACTGCGTGCACAAAGCACAGCATTCTCCCAACAGGAGAGTAAGTTTTAGAAGGGGAAAAAGAGTCTGAGGATCAAATCATAAATCACAAATAAAATGTGCTATTTCAGACTCATCCACACAGCTTAGGCAAGACACACATTCCTGTGTCTCCTCTTCTGAAACAGACATATTTTCCTCACTTAATCCCAAGAGTTCCTGGGCTATATATTTAGCATATATAGAGTGAAAAAAAGTAGACCATATGTTTCCCAGGCACTGTTAAAATTATTGTGACATAATTTTTCAACAGTTTTAGACCACTATATAAAGACATTTGATGTGTCATTTAGCAAGTGGAGCTTATGTTAAACAACCTTAGTTGTGTGGAAGAGAAACAGGAAAAATGCCACATGTTAAAGTTAACAGTCACAGACTATTCAATCAGAATATGAAGCATTACAATGCTGTCACTGAATATTCTCCAGAGGATGTATTGTTCATATGGAGTTAAAGGAAAAATAAAAACCAACATACTTAGCCCTTCCCAATTATGTCTGTTACTTACTCTTATCTTTCCCTGGACAAAACTCGTAATGTCCTCATTTGAATCAAATACTGATAAAGTCTTCATAACATTGCGTTCTAACCACTCCCAATGTTCTGTTATTTCTTCTCTGCTGGATCCTATTGAAAAATATAGTATTACTTTAAATTAGGACAGACTTCAATCATTTCACCAAAACTATTAATCAAGAGAATACTTAGCAAATTCCTGAGTCGCAGAGTAATTTAGATATACAAGACAAAATTACAAGTCTTAAATTTCTTGTTACCTCTTGTGAACATTGAAAACTTATTCAGTGTACACAAAACATGTGCACTGCTGTGTTTTTCTTTCAAGTCCTTTATGCAGCTCTATTTCTGGCCTTTAAATCCAAGAGCATCTCAGCTTTGCCAACATTACGTGGCTCAGTGCTGAAGCCTGAGTTGGACTGACGGTTCCTTCCTCTCAGCAGCACCTCCCCAACAGACAGCACAGCACTACTGCAACACTCCCAATTTAATAGGCCAGAATGTGGGAAATGTGAGACCAAACTCATGAGGCTCAGCAGGAAATTAAATCTGTGCCTTTGATATCCTCAGCTTTGATCACTGGCACACAACAGTTTCCAGAGCAGAACTTCAAGACTAGGGCCTGCTGTGCAAAATCCTAACACATGTGAGGATGTAAAGTAAACATTACTGTAAGCAGGAAGGCAGCAATAACTGAAATGCCATGAGTGAAACCACAGGGTTTCAGCAGATTCAATACAGAGTCAGTGCCTTAAAGAGAGTGACTCCCCATCAGATGCTAGCGGACAAGGAAGAGTGAAAGAACTTACATAGGTTTGAATAAAAGCATTCTAGAATATAAATTAATTGGCAGCGTCATCCTCCACAAGAATGCACACCAATTAAAGCAGAAGTGTGATCACATACCATTGATACCCTCAAGCAAGAACACACCTTGAATAATTGCTTTTTTCTCAGCTTACTTTGTAAAAGGTAATTAACCAACTTTCAGTGGACTCAACAAAATTAAAGTGGCCCTGTGAATGAACAGAAATTGCTCTAAAAATAGTTAAATAGTTAGACTGCATTACAGTGGCTGGATTTGCAACAATACTTACCAAATTATACAAAGAGTAATTAACACAGCAATTACATCACAAAAATAATTATTTTTCTCGGACTACACATGTAGACCAATTATTTGAGTCACAATGTGAATCAGAGGCATAGAGGTGACCCAGGAATAATGAAACTTTTATGTCCTTGTTTAAATGGCTTAGAAGCACTGTTTCAGACCCTAGATATGTTATTGCAGGAACAAAGTGCCATCCCTTCAATTTCTTTACAGAAGAAACAATCTAACACAATTAGAACAATCATATTATGTAGCTTTCTGTTGTAAAGCATATATGCAACACAAAATCTATAAAAATTCAGTGCTAAAATGAAGATTACCCTTTGTATTTTCCCAGGAGCTGACCTGACAGCTGTAGAATTCCCCAGAGTACACTTCCAACATAAATGTTAAAGTATTTTTGATAGCCTGTCACCAGGTCTGACTTCTTCAGAAGTAGCCCTGAAATATTATTTATTGTCAATTCACAAATTGTTCAAATTCTTTAAGGCTGCCCTTTTAAAGTGACAATGCAATTACATTAAATTAACGCTACAAGAACAAATCTGTATTTACTTTTCCATCCCCCATTAATAACACAACATGAGAAAGAGATAGAACTTATACTACAAGAGCAACATATATGAGGAAGAATTCAGCTCTGACCATGACTGTGAACCTGCATGTTTTAACACACAAAGAAAAAGTAAACAAAAATATTAAGATAAGCATCTCCTGTTATTCCTACCTACAGCACAGTTTGGAATAATAGCATAATTTGGAATAATAGCTAAGACCTACTAAGCCCACTAAGACCCTGACAGTCCATCCTGAACTGTGTCAAGTTATCCCTGTATCTTACAAAAGAAAAGACAGTGCCTGTGTCATTGTAACAGTGCCCAAAGGATTTGGTACCTGAAAGACTCCTGCAGAAAGCAGGCAATCAGAAGGTGTAATAGGAATAGTCCGCAGATCTATTCTGTAAAACCAGAACCACACTGTGCTGTCAAGCTCAAGCTTGCAAATGTTTTTAAACCATTTAGAGGTCACAAGAATGAATAATTATGTGAGAGGATTAAGCCAAAAATGGAACCCATACTTTGCACCCTCCTTTTCCACTTTCTGGACTTTGCTGGCTCCCAGAGTACGTACCGCATGCGATGGACCAGTAGACTTGGGAGTCTGGGGTCTGATGCAGGATGCGAAATGGGGCGACTTTCGACGTTGAGTCCAACACTGCATCTAATGTTCCCACAAGGAGACCTGTTGTGTCCAAGAAAATGTACACAGCACAGTGAAACTCAAGTTTTGAAATGCACACTCCCCTCTGGTTCGTTTCTTGGGGAACAGGAATGCTACCCAAGTAAGGACTAATGAATGCTGAGAAAATAAGAAGCACAATCGAGGAGAGCACAAAGTATTCCCAGAGGAACTTCTTTGTGATGTGATATTTTGATCCAGTAAACGCCATGAGGCACTAATGAGGCACTTCCACTTCCCTGTGGAAGTGACAGCCATGCAGTATGTGAAACCAGAGTACAACTAGAAATGTAACCAGGCAGTCCCAGCCTTCAGTGAGCACAAGCAGTAACTGAACTACCTCTTAATTAGTCATTTACTGTTGTTCTGTTTTCCAGGAAAAGGAAAGAGCCCTTGAAGACCATAACTGGCTGTCACCTCCCTGCAACTAAGTGTTGAATTAGCTCCCATTAAACAGAGTTCAGATGAAATATATTAATTTCACCAAAAAGCCAAACTTCACCTCTCCAGAACCAGGACAAAAACATCATCTGGGAAAATAAGGATGCATTTTATAATGACTCAAAATCATTCTCTCGCACTTAACTAATCCTTTAAAATCTAAAAAAATCAATACTGAAGAAACAATTGAATATTTTGGTTCCTGGTGCACTATAAAACCTTCTCTTTTTACAACAGAAGCAAAAATACAGTCAATGGGGTTGTATACTTCTTTCCTGTATTTCCTATGTTTGCACCCTTCTAGCATGACCACAGAAACAGAAAATTCAATTAAAGCAAAGTTACCAAAGCAATCACACTGGGCTTTTAGTCTCCTACAGAAGAATGGCAAAGTAAGAGATGAGATTACCCAAAAAATCATGACACAATTACTCAAAGAGCTGCTGTAAAGTCTGTTCCAGAAACCTGTTGAGATCATAGATGCAAAGCATTCCCAAAAGGAACGAAAGGAGAGAGCTGGAATACAAAATTAACACAGCCCATATAGAACCTTTATGTCTTTAAATACATGTCTTTCCTGTTTAATGGAAAATGATCCTTTGATTTTGGTTTTTAGTATTCTGTAGAAGCACTAGACTTAGACAACTTCAAATGCATCCCTCAAAAGTTATTTCAGAAATTTTAAGTTGGCTACTTTGGTACTTTGGGTTTCACTTTCTTTCTATTAATTCTCTCTCAAATTCTGGAAAAATAGAACTTGTGAAAGAATACAAGGAAATAAAATAATGCAGAATTGGTAAGTCTAGACATTCATCCACGGAGAGTGGTTTTCCTGAGGATACACTTTCGGCATAGAGCCTGTGGGAGTACCTCACTGTCGCTATTCAAGTTTCAAATGTTTTTGCTTCTCCTCAAAAACATGGAAGTAAATAATTATGAGAAACCACAAAAAAAAAAACCCAAAACTAACAACCAGGAAAAAAAGGAAAGAAACCAAACAAGCAAACAAGAAAAAACAAAAAACAAAAACAAAAAACCAGAGCAGTACATTACATCTTTGGTCTTGTCTGAAATTAACAGACTGTAAGTGGTTGTTGGAAAGTAGAATTATTTTGTAGTTCCTGACTGAAGATGAACATTGAATAATCAACAACATTTACGTCTGTTTAAGCAGCTTTTGCTTACTGAACGAGTCATGACACTGAGTTGATATTAAAGGTGGCTTTGCTTCAGCAAATGTTGCATTATTTCATTCACAAATCTCCCAATAACATTTTCTGTTATAATATAAAGTTCAAGGATATTTTTCACCATTTATAAGGCTAATGCAACTCAGCTTGAGCCAATGGTTACCTTAGTGCACTAGAAAGGAGCACTCCTCGAAAAGCCATCACAGCTCCTGTCTCCTTGGAAGGTCATCAGATTTTAGACACAATAAACTGTACCAGGTGAGTATCCATCACCTCAGCATTGCCACATGTCATGAATGGGATCTAGACTATAGGTTTGAGCCTATGGCAGTAAACAGCCTCTCAGTACAGTACAAACTAATTTCATGGCTATGGACACTGGCATAACTGTGAGGCAAAAGCAGAGGCTCACTTATCTTCTCATCCTAGTCTTGAAAGTTCTCCATGAGCTGCCAATGTTTGGAATACTGTATTATTGGTCAGGGTTGCTATACCCTCAGTTCTTGTGTGTTTCTCACCAAGCACTCCCTTGGATTACTATCTCCCAATGGGAACCAAGGGACAACTTACAGAGGGTCCCCTACTTTCACCTCTGCTTAAAACTAGAGTTTCTCCTGGGGGTTCCACCTAATCATCCTCCTGCTATGCTCAAGGAATGACTTCAGCTGTATCTATGGAAAGCAATGCACATTTATATGGAGAAAAGGCTCTGCTTTTAGAAAACATCTTCAGTTTCATAGCTGCCTGAGTAAAACTACTAGGGAATACCGTAGGGGCTTCAGTAAATAGGGGAAAATACTCTAGAAACCAAAATAAAGGGCAAGGATCCAGAACAGCTTTGAAATACAGATGTGTTATTCCCAAGATGTCTCTAAAAGACTTGGTTAGAAAAATATCAACATTAGCTCAGAGACGTGCCACAAAACATCAGCATTGAATTTTGTTCTCAGTTGTACCAATTTAGGGCATGTATGACAGTACATGTTAATAACTGTCCAGCATTTTGCCATTTGGGGGTCAACACCACTTTGTCCTTCTATATTTATTTCACCAAACACACCAAGAGAATACTAAAATTGGTGCTTTTTCTTGGTCCTTTTCAAACCACGATCTCAAGGATTTTTATTTTCTTCTGGAATAGCACCAGTTACAGGTTTTTGATTTCCAACAATCTACTTTATTTATAGCAATTTGACTACTTCCTATCCTTTATGGGACAAGTGTAATATCAGTTTCCTTTTACTGATAAAAAATCAGAAGCAAAGTAAACATGCTTCTGTATTCTTTTTTAAAAAGCACCATTCTTCAGAAATGAAGTTAACACAGGCTTGGTTTCTCCTCTAACGCTTAACAGTGCCTTTGAAGTCAATAATTAATTATATTAAAACTGGATCAGACAGCCTCCTGATTTGCTACATTCAAAGTAACATAAAATATTTAATAATATATGGGTTCTTTACAAACAGAAATGTTCCGTTAGCACCACAGTGGGCAGCCCCATTGCAGCAAGGATTTTGAAGAGCAGATATGTTGGTCTACAACTGAGTTCTCACTTTTAGCTTATTTACATCATTACAAGAAAAAGAGTTTTCTTGAAAATACTGTAAAAGCTCTGTGTGAGTGGCAACAACTACAGAAAGTGACATTCTGCAGCTACACTCAGTTTCATTCCAGTAAAAACTGCTCCCTTCTACAATCTGAAGAATTCACAGCCTAATCAGAGCAGAACCAAAGAGGAAAAAACACTGTAAAACAATCAAATTTGTGATACAGAGCTGTAGTGGGTTGGCCCTGGCTGGATGTGCCCACCAAGATGCTCTATCATCCCCCTCCCCAGCAGGACAGAGGGTAAAAAATACATCAAAAATCCAGAAATGCAGATCTAATGGAAGCAAAACTACAGCCTAACTTAGCAGATGCTCTGTAACTGCCTCTAAGGCTTCTCCAGTACAGGATGCAGTAACAAGGGAGAAATGTAACAGCAAATATTATTTTACATTGACAGGATAAAGCTTCTTTCTATAACAGCAACTACTTTTATAGAGCATGTTGGTTCTGTTTTTAAAATCTGAAAGGACTGAAGCCCCAGCTTTCAATAATATAAACCATGAAAAGACATCATCTCTGCATATTTGATTTAAAATACAGGAATGCCAATTTGTGTATAATACTCCTTTTCCAACATCCTCAAATTAAGCAAAGTACTACTTCCAGGTTTAATTTTATTTTGTAAGTGAACTTGATTTCATAACTAAGAAATTCCAGCTTAAGGAAATATTGAGCATGGACTGAGACGGCAATGTTTAAGATAATTCAGACAAAAAACACATCTGAAGTTTAAGCCTTCAGAGCCAAAAGATTTCATCTCCATTTACAATAACTCAAGTGCATTATGGTCAGTGGTTATGACTCAGGTAAGAAAATAGTAACTCATTAAACTAAGGTGTGTCTCCAACCTTGCCTCTGCCTTAGAAATACAGAAAATTACAAGTGCAACTCTGAAAAAAATTAAATATTGTTCTACTTGGTAAGAACAGAAAAAAGGACTGCAGATAACAGTTCCTCTTTGTTTTTGGTTCTAAAAAGCTGTCTGACAGGAACCGGGGAGCATATGCTGGTAATTTTTTCCACCTGTCATCCCCAAATGTAAATATGCGTCTTAACAGAGGGATGTTATTTGTCTCACCAATATAGGCACTGCTACAGCTGCTGAAAAAAATTATGTAGCTGACATAATTTCAGATCTTCATTAACCAACAAATTTCCCATTTGATTCCTATCAAGGCTGAGGACACACAGCAAGGAAGCCACAACAAAAGCTTTGTGTGCTAAAACACCAGCCAGGATAAATTATTTCTGCCCAGATGAGCAATTTGGAAAAGCATGTGGCTTTGTGATGCAGACTGGGTCAAGCTAGATCACAAGGTCCCTCATTCTGCAGTTCCTACCAAAATAAACTTCTTTTAAGTTTGTACAAAGATCACCAAGTACTTTTTTAACTGGTCCACCATGAAATTTTGTTAGAGACAAGGTTCTTGCCATTAACATCCACAACATCCATCCAACATTCTTTCTGTCAGATGTCAGAGAGGGAAACTTTCCACACAGCCCATATCCCTGCCCAGCTCTGTCACCCCTTCTCCCAACCCCCTGTGCATGCAAGTCAGCCAGCAATGGCCCACCCAACAAACCACAGCTTTTAAACAGTGCAAATACCATCAAGGGCCTTTGACAGATTTGGGATGGCAACAATTGCCACAGGAGATCCAGGACTTGGGGGAGTCACAGGTTTTCCCTACTCTTCCGAGCATGGCATAAAGAAGACTATTTCCAACCATATATTTATTTCACTGATTTTTCTTCTCCTACAGTTGCATTTTACTTACTTTTCTCAAGCAGAAAGAGGCAAATTGAAACAGCAGAAGCAGGAACTAAACAATTGGTTTGTTCAAATTTCAGTGAAAGGTTGGAATTTTAAGACACGAAATACTTATTTGCATCACTACTCCCAGCGTACCCCTCTCCTAATCAAGGTCCTGCCTAAATCAAGGTCTGTCCTAGAACTAAAGCTAGAGTTCTGTGACCAGCATGCTTAATCACACTAGACCTTATTTACAGCACATGTATTCACAACTATATTCTTATCCATCCACTCTGGAAAACCTGACCAGCTCTCCCAGAGTGGCTCTACGGAGACACAACAACCAGAGGACATGGTCACATGGTTGCATAGTCAGGCAACACACTTTGAGACAGCCAAAAGTGTGATGAATTACCCAATGGAGCACCACTCAGACAGTTTACAGTATCTGTATCCCTAGGAAAGCTCTAAAACAAAGAGAATGAAGTGCAAAGCTAAGCAGGTACATATCTGCAGGGAGGGAGGCAAGGCTGAGCACAACCAGCACAAGGTATTTCTGTACCTGTTTCAAAGTTATCTACACAACTAAACTCAGAAGTGTGGTATGTGAGCACACAAGCCGTAACAGCCCCCTGTGTCATCTACAGATTACAAACTGGTCCTGCCCCTGTCAGTCCAGAGTGGTAATACAAACAAATCCAACTGCAAACTTCATTCTATTCCTAAAACAGAACCAGAATTCACAGCCAAACCCTTCCTTCAGGCTCTGTTGACATTATCTTTTGCTGCTTTGTCTCCTTCGTACCTTTTGTACTTTTCTCCAGGTAATGGCTGCTTCCTCAAAACTTTCCTCCTTAAAGCCTGTCTTACCAACTGTACTCCTGTATTTTTGGGAATCCTTTGTCACATTCCCGTTAGTGCTATTCAAACCCTGCAGCACCGCCCATCCTTCTTTCCACTCCTGTCTTTGAGGCATTGTCCCCCTCTTCCCTCCTGACCCAGACTTACACTGCTGCCTCCCTCTTTCAGTCCCTCAGTGCTGCCAGTCACCTCCAGCCTTGTCTCACCAGCTGTAAAACGCTCTTCAGAAGAACAGTACTGGGACATTTGGGATGATTTCATAACACAACAGCTGTGTTTTGCTTTTTCCTACAGAAAGTGCTAATTTTCTCCCGTGACAGGCAGCAATATCAAATTAAGCCCAGGCACAGCAAATCATGCTGGCTTATACCTAGGAGGTTTGAATATTTCCAAACCTGCGAACACAAATGTAATTGCATTTTTATGCAACTGTCTTGTTAATCTTTCTTAATCACAACTTTAATTCAAGAACATCTCACTCCTTTTGTGTCTGCCCAGGGAAAAATGTAACTTGCACAGAAGAATCTGTAAGAATTTACAAGAAAAGCTTCATAAATAAAATGTGCAATGCCACATCAAAAAAAGCATACTTACAGCAACTATCCCATCCAAGTGTTTTTCCTGCACTGTCAACAGCTACCAAGAACAGCAGAGCAGTGACAGAAGCCTCACCTTTACCAGAATCCAAAGGGCACTTGGAAGGCTCAGCTGTCTATCCAGCTGTAAGCCTGTGAGGAGGTTTTCAGACAAACAATTTATTCCAATTCTCATCGTTCCACTTTAATCACAATCCTTAAATTAATTTTATCATGCAGAAAGTCAACCTTCATAGTGACTTGGTTTCCTTGACTTCCAAATATATCAAGGTAGAGAACAAGCCATCAAGCCTGATCCTTACAAGACTTCCAAGCTTACAATGTATCACCCTTGGTTCTAAGCCAAAGCCTAACATTACCTACCTGCTTATAATACTATGATATGCATAGTAACCTGGGATTTTGGGATGCTTTCTTTTATACTTTCCATGTGCCCTGCCAGTGGTTCATTCAGAGGCCAATGAAGAATGCCTGAGATGCAAGGGGCATTTCTACATCTGATATTCACCAGCCAAAAGTCTGAAGCTTGTGGTTTTCTTCAGTAAAATTAATAAATGTTTCCACAAGACAATTATACCTCATGTTTAACATAGCTTGCTTTAGGATGACACAAATTAGAGAGAGCCTAGAAAACCTGCAGAAATTCAAAACACTTGAGAACCACATCTCACTGAGGAATGACTTTATGCTGATTCCCTGTAGCATTTTTCCTTGACAGGGTCAGTGACAGACATCATCAGCCTATAAAGGAGTCAGTTCTAGTCAGAGTACCTGCCACCATCACAGAGGTCTTAGCAGTAGCTGGGGCCCCTGCAGTGCCTAATGATACAAATAGGTAAGAATTATACATAGAAGCGAAGCTCCATACCTTTAAGTTCTCATGGAATAAAGTTTATTATATGATGGTGAATTTCCGGCCCCACCCCTCTGTCACTTTCCTGACCCACCACTGCTGACAGTGCATATCATATGCCTGCTTTTAAAATAAACAATCAGAAATGCCTGAGCAGGAGTTAATCTCAAACAGCCTCAGATGCACGCAGAAAATGACATTTGGAAATGAGCATCTTGCCAAAGCAAGACAGATCACTCCTTCCGCAGACGTGTCCACTTCCACCAAGCTGCCCATGGAGCTGTGCCGGACTCCGCTGGAGCAAAGGCTTTTCAGCCCGTGACGAGGCTGGGCTGTGCTGTCTACAGTTCCCCAGTGACCCGGGAATCCAGAGCACCAGGCGCCCTCAACCCCGCCGGGTGCCCGTCACCGCCGTATTCTGCTGCCCCTAGGGCCACTCTACCCAGGGAAAGGAAGGCGAGAACAGCCCCATGAGAAATCCAGGAAGGTCCGGGGCTCCAGAACTCAAGCGGGTCCCCCTCCTGCCCCTTTGGCTGCGGGTCTCAGGGCCGACAGACCACCGTCCTCCCGCTCCAGCCCTGGTCCGGCCCCACAGGGGCAGTACCTGCCAGCCCGCCTCCGCCCTCCTCGCCATAGCCCCGCCGCCGCTGCAACACGAAGTACTGGTTGGAGCGCTCCTGCACCCACAGCTTGAGGGCATTTTTCAGCAGCACCTCCTCGGGCTTCAGCCACATCCCACGGCCCCTCTCGACGCAGAGCTTCCACCACCGCGCCCGCTCCGCGCTCGCAGCTACGGTAACACGCAGGGGAGGGCGGGGCTCCCAAGGCATGCTGGGAGCTGTAGTCCTTGCTGCCAAGGGGCCGCGTTGCGCTGCTGCAATAGGACTACAAGTCCCGTCGGCTGTGCGCTCCCCTGCCTCGAGACTACAGCTCCCGTCGGGGCCTGTGCTGCCCTCGCAGCGGCCTGTCCCGGTGTGGGGCGCTGAGTCCCGGCTTTGCCGTGCCGCGGAGCGGGGGCTGGGGGTTCCGAGTCCCGGCTTTGTGTTCCCCAGGGAGCGGCTCTAAGGCCGCTCCCGCGCACAGCACTGTATCTCCCCTGCCCCAGACGGCGCAGAACCGCTGTGGCTATTCTGTGCATAGCAGAAGCCCCGTTTTCAGTTCCGCCCAAACCTGACTTCATTTTCAGCTCACAGGACAGACAAACGTCACTAGAGACGGTGTTTGGCGCCCAGGTGTGTTTTCCAGTCAGCGCTCGGCCCGCAATTGCAGGCGGGGTTTGAAACGCAGAGGGGCTGACAGAAAGCACAAAAAAGCTTCAGAGGGCCCACTGCTCCTCTGCTCCAGTATCTGGTGCCGAGAACCTCCCAGAGTTACCGTCTTTTCCCACCTCCATGCAAGATTCACTCTTGTTCCTAACACAACCTGTTATTCAGTACAAATGGAGTAGGTCTTCCTGTTTCCCAGGTACTCCTGCGCACTTTCCTTAGCACTCTTACTTCCAGCATAACTGCCCTTCCCAAGATTTTCAAGGATAATGATTGTTCAAGGATTGATTGTATGTCATACAAAAAATGCAGCAGACAGTTGTTTAAACTCAGCCTCTACTTCAAGCTCTTTCTGAAAATTAAATGCACTTACTGTACATTGCAACCTTGGCACTTTTGCTTTATCCTGGCTTCCCTCATGCTCTTCAATAGTACTTCACTACCGAAAATGCTGCTGCTAGCACTGGTCTATTTGTGAGCATAGGCATACTGTGTTTTTGCCAAGCAGTCACAGGAATTATTTGGCAAAGCCCATCCACTTCCAGTTGCATAAGCAACCACCTACCCAAAGGACCTGTGTGAAAGCAGACCCAAGCATGCAATCACATTTAACTCACAGGAAGCTTCAAACCTTGGTGAATTGCATTGGCATAAGGCTTTCTTTTCTTTCAATCACCCATTGCACCACAGCAATAGAAACTGTAGAATTGAAGAGCTGTACTGTGGGGACTGAATATAGATCTAACTAATACAATTCTTTTGCTTGTTTTTGTAAAAGAAGAGGAAGCAACAGTTTTCTGGTGGTATACTTTTACTAGGAAGTAAAAATAAAATACAAGCCATTAGCCAGCACATGGTAACTAACACAGATCAAACATTAATGAGAGCCCCTGATATCCTGGCACACAGCTCATCATGAGGTGGAGTCTTCAATCCCCCATCTGAAGCCAGGCACAACAGAGAATGCTGGGGATTTACCAGCTCCACTGATTGAGTGGTTGCTTCACAGATCATGGTCCTGTAAGAGCACTCCCAGAAAGAGTGTTTACCATTTAATGATCCTCAATTAGACAAGCCCCTGGATACAGGAAATTAAGGACCTAACACACATCTTCTAATTCTGATGTTAATTTTAAGGAGAGATGCCCTTGGCATTTCTTACCCAGAATTTTCATTTTGGTGACACAGACACACTGGACATGTGTTACTTGCTCATGTAAAATTCAAACTTTGTTAACTGGATAAATATTTTAACAGTAAAATGCTACTGCTTGGAAAATGTCTGTTTTGTATTTCTTTCCATGTTTCATGGTCTTGAATGTCTTTCTCTTTTCCAGTTCCCTAAAGCATTGGATTCTTAATCAAATACTGTTCAGCTGCAAAGAGTGCTTCTCTATGGGCATGGAGAAATTTATTTATAGCCACTTGAAAACCTTAACTGGTGCACAATCATGCTACAGTGTAATCAATGCATTCTACAGCAACACAGATCCATTTAGTGCTGCAGAATTTTTCTTTCACTTATTCAAGACTTAGCGTAGAAATGAAATTACTTCCCTCAACCATGTCAAGACTACAGAAATAAATAGCTATAAAAATAAACGTTGGCTTCACTCTGTATAACCAACAGTTGAACAACCAGTGCAGAGTTACTCTAGGACTATTACATAATTTTTAGTTCACACAGCACAAATGCTGCAATTGGATTTCAGTTTTCTCTTGAAACCAAAATTAATTGCCGAAGCCAGATTTTCTTTCATTTCTTCCAAACTGCAGACATTACACCCCTGCAGGAGAGGAGCCCCATTCACATCTACACAGGAGAGGTACCAGTCTTTTCACTTGAGTGAAAAGGCAGGGCTACCTTTGGTGCTGGTGTGTTAAACATGGAAAGAAATTACAATAAATCACACACAGGCAAGGTAAATGTCTTTATTTATTATATCAAACTGTTAGGTCACTTGAGAAATGCAGAATTTTCCCTCTGAAGACTGAGATGGACTGTACCTCTCCATTTTATGGCAACAGTCCAATGGCCCTTATGACTCAAACTGCTTTTACGTGTTTGCAGCCCTCATCACAAGTCCTGCTTTTCCCTTTAAACAAAATTCTCATCCAAAACTGTATTTCTGTTGGGACACCAGAAATTTTCCTCAAGATGAGAAAATGGTATTATTTTGATTTGAAATTTAAAAAATTAAGCCCTGCTGTTGTAAAGCCTAATTCACAAGAGAGCACAGTAATCCAGCACCAGGAAACAAGCCTTTCTCTCCTGCAGGGATAAAAAAGCTTTCCCAGACCCTCTTTGAGAGCACATAAGTGTTTGACTGAAGTCTCAGATCAGAGCTCCCTCCCTTTCCCTGAGGGAGTGAGTAAACACTTGGACATGATGCCAGAGCCTGTTCAGTTTGCTCTTTGGGGACAGAAGAATTGACATGTCTGTGTGACTCAGTGGGAGAGTCACAGTGGGAATATTAATACAGTCAACAGACAGATAAACAGACAAACTGTACCATTTGTGAGCTCATTATTTCCATTATCTTACACATGAGTATTAGTGTATCTATAGAAAACCCCAAAACTATTGCACAATAACAGCAGGTTTTTATTGCTTTTCAGGAACAACCCTAGCCCCAGGCACATTTCTGTTAGCTTCTTGCTTAGAGGAAAGTCTACCATGTCACAGTGTACACACACACACAAACATACATACACATAACCCAGAGACATTCTAGCCCGTGGCATCACCAAAAACAAGTGAACATTTCGCTGCACAGTCCCCTAAGCAGGGTTGGCAAAGGACAGCTGCTACCCATGGAAACTTGGAAATACAAAAAAGTGAGAGTGGATCATTGAAATTTCTTTAAGACAGTCTGACAGGAACAGACCCAAGTTTAGTATCACGATGGTGTTGATGAAATTTACACTTTCATTTTTAAGCCAAATCCCTTGCATAGCTACTAGTTACAAACAAACCTGCACAGATAAGAACATGGTAGACTTGCAAGATAAGCTGCAAAACTGGAGAACAGATTAAGTTCTGCCTAGCAGTAGCTCAAATACTGCTCAGGTACTTATCCTGCATGTGTTCCTTTAGCAGTGGGTCACATTTGATATAAGAATCCCTCTGAAATATCTCTCTGAAAATTAGCTTAAGTGCCTTGAGCAAGCAAGACCCTTCCTCAAGAGATGATACCATCTAATCCTACAGCAGTACAGGTTCATCAATGCGAGCTTCTACACCACCCCCCCTCCCCAGTTCTCCACTAGTGCATTCCTTGAGAAAGGGCTGTGCATTCATATTAGAATTACAATTACAATTAGAATTAGAAATACAGGTGTCAGTGTCAGTGCTTGGTACACTGGATTGTGGATGCAAACTGACTGGCACTATCAGTTATCCTACATTATCCATTATTCTACAGTAAAACATTCATACCTTCTCTCTGTGAGTTCCCACAGGCAGCTCCTCACAACACTGACTTCTCTCTTCCTTCTGCATGACTACCCAACCCCTCCTCCTCATAGCATGGCCAGCAAATTCCAACTAACTCTAGACCAGCTGACCCACTCTTTTATAACACCCATCCTTATTGGACATAGCTGTAATCTATTAAGGGCAAGGCTGCTTCCACTCTTTGGCCATTAATAGAGCTGCGAGATTGCTTGTAGCACTATCTGTTCTCTTACAATCCATTCTCCCACACACAAGTATTGGGGAAAAGGCAGTAAATGTAAAGCTTGAATTCTACAAACAAAGCAGCCCAAATAGTGCCTTTCAACGTATTGAATTTATCTGAATCCCTTCCCTTTTTTTTTGTAAACATCAAATTTTGTTCCTATTGAACACAAAACTGGCAAATGGTTTCATGAGGCTATATCTTCATAAGACTCTACTATATTGCAGCTTTACACACCACAGAAAATGATACCAGCTTTGTGAAATGGAAATGGAATGAAGTGATATGGGACTGCATATTTACTGCTTGGCTGCTCCTTTCACTGCTTTGCACTTCAGAGGTAGAATAAAAAGGCAATCACAGCAAATGACAGCTTCAGAGTGGAGTCTGATTATAATCAGCTTCACAACTGGAGATCAGAACCAACTGGTATTTTCTAGACTAGACTTGGAACTGAACTAAAAAGAAATACAAGACTTAACTGCTTCCAAACCAGCTAGGAGAGCAGCAAGCTTTTACTGTATTTCATAGTAGAGTACAGAACAAAGGACAAGTAATAATTTTTAAAATGCTTTTTCCTCAAAGCAAACAAACTTTGGAGTAAGGAAGGGGTGCTGAGCAACCTGACAAAGGAAAAGCGAGATGCAGCCAGTCTGAAGGGCACATGGCAGATTGCCTTGTGCTGAACCTGCCTACAAGTACAATTCAGCAGCTCACTGAACACATCCTAAGGTGCTTGGATTTTCTTTAACATTGAGTACAGCTACTAGGTTTCAGCATCTCAACACAATTTTAATCCATGTAACAGTAGCACCCTGCACATAACTAGCACTTCTTATTCCAATTACTTTGAGCAAACACTGCTTCTTTTTGGCCTCCTAAAAGGATGTGTTTCAAGGCTGTTGGACAGGGCAAATTCAGCATCTGCTTCCATGAGAGCTGGTAATATTTTATGATAGTCAGGATAATCAAAAATAGTTTTATTTACATTTACATTTCCATATTAAAATTCAATACAAATTATGAAATATTAACAAACATTTATTTTGTACTATAGCTAAGATAATGCATTGCTTTTTCCCCCAGATTCTTAAGTTATTTATTGGAAGCTCTAAGACAAAATCCTACTAAACAATAGAAACTAGTCAAAGGTGCAGAGGTAAAAAAATAAAGTGCATTTATAAGATGTCCTTAGTTACCTTCACTGGACAAGGCCAAGTCACTGTTGAGGCACCCAGTGTTCCTACTTGACCCCATCTCGACTCCACACAGAGGACAGCTTCTCCAATCCTCTGTTACACTCACAGGACATCGGCTCTCCCTGCAGCTTGTGCATTTGAGCAAGGTAATGTACAGCAGCAGTCCAGCATTTTTCAGAGGATCATTTCTGAACAAAACACAACAGATCCTTTCTGTAAAAGAAGAGGAAGCAATCTATCTTTTCATCTTCGGCCGAGTCTTTCCTGAAGTCATCCCAGACTCCCACATAGCCAGGACTCTGGCATATTGCTGGTGCTAGAGATTGTTATAGCTCCTCAAATCACTTGAGGATCTTTCAGACTAACAGATTAATGTTAACAAGGCTTGAAAAATTCCTGCAGTTGTTCCCTTTACAGTAAGTCAGATCTGGCCTGTCAGTTTTCAGCTCTCTTTTCTTCCCCTTTAGGAATGTGTGGTTGGCAGGTTGGAGTTGAGAGGTAGAGAATCAGTTGGTTACTAGACAACCAAAGACTTCGTGGACAAAATCCAGTTTGACAAGCATTAGTTTGCACTTTCTCCTATCAAATTAGTGCACTGAAACATTAACTACCATGTTTCTTTAAACAAAACTGTCTTATAAGTAAGTATTAGAACAAATCAAAACTAATTTCTTTACAATGAAAATCCACTTGAATGAAAATAATAAACAACAAAAATGCCCAACTCAAAATTATTCCCAGTGGAGAAACTATGACATAAAAAATCTTCTCACTTAAACAACTCAAACACAATAGAGAAGCTTTGCTAAAGATGAAATTTTTGTTTTAGTTAAAATCTGCTGGCTTTCTATATATTCAAGACAGCTTTATCTGGAGAGTGTTAAGACTCCTGTGGAAAATACAGTTTTAAGAAAGGCAAACCATACAGTTATGATTGGGACGAGTCTATTTATCTAAACATTGCCAGTGCAGTATTTTTTGCAAGTCTTGCAACTTTTGGTTCATATGGAATGGCAGTAGGCAGCTCCTTGCAGAAGGTTTGCACCATGTGGCTGGGCATGTTCTTAGAACGTGACTTCACAAACAATCCTGCCTTCACAAACTTGTGTATCATCTCCTTCAAAACCTGGGTTGTCACCGTGTGAAAGGACAATCACAGTGGAGGGCTGGGATTCATCACGTACAGGATGCGTGTTGTGATCTGTCCAGAAGAAAAGCAAGTCAAGACAAGTTAAAAAGTGCCACAGCCAAGCGTTTACCACCTTAAAGCAAGCGACACAAACTTGATTTGCACAAGCTCAGCAGCTCAACTGCACTTTTCCTGCAGAGATGGAAATACAAGGCCATATTCCAACTACCTCTCTCCTGATGCCCCTTGTTAGTTTGGGATCCCATTCTTGTCACTGCCTGTCCTTTCCAGAGATGCCTGCTCAGCTCAGTAGCACTAAGAAAGCTGAAGTTGTGTGTGCTTAAGCCACAGAAGGCTACAAAATCCAACAAGGAGGATATTAGCAGGTCTTGTATCTCTAGGCTGCTGAAGGCAGGCATCAAGAGCAACTCCTAGAGACCAGGCTCAGGATAAACTGGGGTGGGGGGGGCGGACATGCTGATTTGGAGAAGAAGGCCTTCTTCCTACAGACTAATCTTGTCTGGCTGATGTCCCTTCCCACTCCAAGTGAGAATACACAAGAATGACCCATATAACTAACCCAGCATGCCTTGAATTGCTTAGAGGGATGCAATTTCAAATTCTGATGTTTAACTCATAGGAAGTGTCCTCTTCTCTACTGGGGTGCTTCAACAGGGCACTCCCAAACACACACCACTTGCTGTAGCAACATGTCCTGCAGGAGACAGGCAGCAAATCCCAAGTTTTCCCATCAGCTAGGGAAATAAAGTATCCCGTTTATAAGGTCATACCACAATTCAGGGGACAGTTACTTTCATTTTTTTTTACCTGCAACATTTTCATTTTTAACAGCAACATTGAGAGTGTTGGTAAAGCTGAGCACTAAAAAGACATTTTCAATTTGTTTGGTCTTTTTCAAAAAGATAAAGTATTTGGGAAATCAGATATTCTTTCCAAATTAACGTACTCTAAAAGTGTTCAAGGATGACTCAGCCTTGGCAAATCTGAAATTCAATTGAAGTATATGTCTTCTCTATCTTGCATCTAAGAGCAAGACTGACTCCCCAAAAGTTTTCAGAAAGTAACTACTTAAAGCAGATAGATCTAGTAGCAAAGCAACACTCACTCATCCAAATGTAATCTCCGAAGAGACAAAGGGATAAGGGCCATCTCTGGAAAAATCTCTTTGCTCTTGAAGTAGTAAGCCTCTGACTTTGAACTATTCTTTCATAGACTTTGGCTTTTAATTCACGTTAAGGATGTGTTTAATTTGAAAACAAAGACCAAGTGTCAGAGTTAAGGGCTAAAACAAAAGATAACCCTGAAAAACAAAGTATTCAAGCCCTGTGAAATGTTATGACCGCAACTCCCTCTAATTCACAGCCTAAACAGCCAAACACAAATGATCTAGGCAAGGCAGATTAAACAGTAGACATACTTTCTAATGGTGTGTGTGCCTCCTGAGCAGATTCATCTGGTCCCTGCACAGAATCATATCCAGATGATGCTGTTTCACTAAGATTGTCCTCTTCATTAACTATAGTGACAGTGGATAGAGGTCTTTGACCACTGGATCCTGGGGCTTGCACAGGCTCAGACCGTGGTTCTACATCCATCTTTGTGGAAAAAAAAAAAAAAAAAAAAAAAGAGAAAATTATTAAATTACAGCTTGGCAGGAGGGTCCATCTTTCTTGGAGAACAATGCCTGCAAGGACTGAGTCTGGAGCACTTTTACACAGAGGGAAAAACATGAAATGGAATAAAAGCTCTGCTGTTAACCTCCAGCATCAGAGGAAAAAAACAGTTACTGCCTAATTGAGTGGGAAGTTCAGACACAGGTTCTGAAAAGACTCTTCCTTCCACTCAGTGTAGATCTGCCTCCCACAGGCAAACTCCAGTTTTAACTGGTCCAGGCAGCTTCAGGGACTGGCAACATCATCTTCCTCTGGCACTTGCAACAATGAGAAATTACAGAACACATCAGAAACTCCTGATGTGTCCTAGGAAATCATGCAGTTCCAGAAATCTTGTACATGCTAAAACATTCACTTTTCAAGGGCTTCAGGTACTGAGCAACTGAAGAGGAGCTGGGTTCAGGGACATTATGAGTTGTCCTAGTCTGCCTGAAGATTTGAGAAACACCCTTAGCTCTAAGCACAAGAGCTAAGAGAGATTCTTCCATCCATGGGTCAGCTTTGGCTGACATTCTGCCCAAGCCTTTAGGTGATACCAACTTACATCAGGTCAGCTGCAGGCTTCCCTGAAGGGACACTGCAATTATTCCTATAGCATCTGGCCACAGACATGGCAACACCTGTGCTTATCACCTGCACTCTAGAGGCAGCATGAAAAAGCTCAAGATGTGGTCACAATACCAGTGTAACACCCAACACTTTGAGGATGTCACATTTGCACAGAGGACACGTCCCATGTTCCAGAAGCCAGGGGTCAATACAAGTCTTGTGGAAGACATGGCTGGTGGAATAAGGCAGCCAACAGGTTAGATTTCATATCAGGAAGATTGCTCATGTGCCAGCTTATGAAGGACCCTTTTGTAACACCAAGAATTTTTTCCTTCTAGACTGGATGACCTTTTTTTTTCATTATTTTGCCACAAGTTTCAGCTGAAAGTTACAGATGGTTAATCTTTCAACCTGTAGCTGGTTTTTGCTTATTAGTATCCCAATACAACTTGCTAGAATTCAGCATTATCATTTTTGCTACACCTAAACAGTCTAAAGCTGTTTTTCCAAAACTGTGTACAATACATTCCCAGCTGATAATTTAAATGATATTGACATCTCAGCCTTCGCTTTAAGGTTAACTTCTGTCATGTAGATGCAGGTAACTAAATGGCATTTGTTTCTGTTGTAATTACATAGGCAAATCATCTGACATAGTTATGTCCTCAAGATAAACTGTACTCCCACCCGTCTATTGTGTCTGTGTAATCACTGTATATCCCAAGTGGGTATTGGGCAGGCTGTACACTCAAGAAAGTAAATATAGCTCAGCCATCATAGATGCAAATGTATGCTTCTTTTAAGACACTCAATTCCACAATGGGTTTAAATTAGGCCACAGATTTAGGAGGATGACTTGAAATCCTGTAATCTGCCTGTTCCCTCAGTCTGAATAGGCAAACAAGCACTGCTCAGTATTAATCAAGCCTATTATGAGATAAGTGCAGAGATCGCCACATCCAGTGCTAAGCAGCCTACACTCCAGCAGGACCCAAGGATTCTCCAATTCATCTCCAATTCAGCTCACTGAATCAGCACTTCCTTCCAGCTGCACCAATGTCATGTTTAGAATAAAACCTGAAACTTTCTTGACGCCTGACTATTTTAAGTCCTTGAACTTAATACTGGACTTGTGAACCTCTGCAACTAAAAATGCCTTTAGTGTGACTCTCTGAACAATAATGCCCTCGGCAAATACACCCCAGGGACTCAGATACCACCAATGTGATTCATGGGAGTATTCCTTTGATTTGGTCTTTCATAGATACAGTTAAATGCTTTCAGCAAGTAGGGTCTTAGTGTTGAGGTCAACCACCAAAAGCAAGCATGTTCTGGCAGTAAATATCAGTTTATAACTCACAAGAGGGAGAATTTAGTATGGCTGATACTAGCAGATATCACCACTCATGAAGATTAACAAGTCCATGTAGTCATTTCAAGCTAGCTTGCCTCTGAGAGCTACAGAGCCATTGAGGAAGGAAGCATCACAAATGTACATAAAAGCAGTCTCAGAGCAAATGCAGCAAATTTGTGTTTAAAGAACACAATCAAAAGATGTTACTCCACTCTTACCCAAATAAGTCATGCTTTGTTTTCAGGTTCATATCAATATTAGTAGGGTTTATAGGGAAATAATAAGTCAGGTCTGCTATCAGGCAAAGTATCTGGAACCTGTCTACAAGTTTCTGTACTCATAGCACTTAGTCCATTACTAAACAAAACTACCCACAAGTATAAACATGACATATAATGGATATATAATGGATAATGGATAATCATTAACATACATGCCTGAAAGGTTATTCACTTTTGGGGTTTTTTAAACTATTAAGCATTAGGTCAAGGGAGTTGGTTGATAACGCCTTAGCAGAACAACTTTGTATTACCAAAACAGCTTAGAGGTCCTACTGCTTGGGAGCAGAGAAAGCCTTTGCAAAACTGTAATCTGGTGCATAGGTAACTCCAGCTGAGATTTGCCAGTGTTAGACAGCACTGCTCAGCACACAACAGCAGCTACCCATTTTTCTATTCTTCCGAACTTCATTTTCCTACTTCAAAATGTTTTCAAGTGCTTTCTGTAATCCTCCCTAAGGGTTATGACACCTCTTCTTTTGCACAATTTGGGCAGTTCATGTGACAGCCCTCTGATTTAGAAGCTTGGCCAGAGCAGTCCCAGACAGCAGGCACAGGGGGAAACCCCACAAAAGTTTCCTTAAGCCCTGAGGCAGCTTCATTGTTCACCTTAGGAGCAATCACATTAATGCCTTAGTGTTTCACTACTGGGCTTCCACAGCAGCACAGCAGTGAGATACAACAGGAGAGAATTCTAGAAAAATAAACTCTTTTTTGGTGTCTGTTTCAGAGGATGCATACAAGAATAGAAATGCTTTCTTCTAAACTACAGAAGTCAGCATCGTTTAACAAATTTAGCAGAAACACAACCCTCTTAGTAAATAGTAATTTAAAGGAGAAGAAATGGGCAACGTTTTGCCCATTACCTGCAAGTTAGTGATAACATTCTTATACAGCAGCAAAAGAAAAAATCTAAAAAGTTCTAGTATCTCATTGAGGGACACTGTGGTCTGCCAAGTTATGTGTGTGGATCCACATACAGGGAAAGTGATGAACACAGACCACTGGGGCACACTACAAATGTGTGATCACACTTTCTGGTGTTCAAAATACTGCTTTGATAGGATTCTCACTGTACAATAACTTGATGGAAGTTTGTTAACAAACATGGCAGAATTTTGGATAAAGGAGGAGTCTGGAAGACAACTTACTTGCAAGTCAGAACACGCATTACATCATTTGGCTTGTACTGCTCAAAGCACACAACACAGGAATCTCCATCTGGACCAGTTTCCTGAAACAGTGAAATGAATTTACAGCTTTAACAGACTTTGAAAGCTTCCTCTGAACTCCAGTCAGATTTATGTCAAATAAAGGGGCCTAGCTAGAGTGATTCATGATGCTCCCAAATATAATCTTATATAAACACGCTTCAAGGATTAGGCACAGTCAAGCTGACTCCTCAAAAGAAGCATTGAAAGTTTAAACCCATGGTTCAAAATTCCAATTGAAACTGTTATTGGACTACTGGAGGCACTAGTGTAGAGGTTTAAAAACTGCTACCTCCAGTTTTAGTTACAAGAAGAGCCAGGGAAGCTGATTAGAACTAGTTTATGCTTAAGCACCCATGCCAGCAAATTAGGTCCTTTCATAACAGCAAGACTACAAGCAAGCAGCTAACAAAATAAACTGATTTATATGAATAAAAAGTCTTGAGGCCTGGAAGAGGACCTGGTCTGAAAGACGAACTGTCTCTGCTACCAAGAGTTACAGGCTCAGAGAGACTTCTGCATCCTGCTCCATTATTAGGGAACTCCCTGGGTTCCATGCAAAGGCTGTGCTGTAATGCAGAGGAGATCACAGGGTCAGTCCTACCTTGTCCCCTTCCTTCAGGGTGCGCAATTTCATCTGTTCAATGGCCTTCTTAGCCTTGGCCCTCAGCTGCCGCTGTGACACAAAGCAGTCCTGGTCAGACACAGCCATTTTTCTATTCACTTAATAATAATACTTACCCAGGTGCCTACTTGTAGCAGACAACAGTTTTAAAACCCAGATGCTATCAAAACAAGCCAAGTAAGCCCACTTAGCACCAATACACCCTGAACTACTCCTCTGCTTCCAGTGCTTTACAGCTTGCCTGGCAACTGTTGCTGTCCAGCTGTTACCATAGTACCTGCAATTAGCCCAGGAGCCAACCTCTGTTTAAAGGTCACAGGTTGGTGCTGTTCCACTGACTCAAAGAACAGTACTGTCCTCTCCCTACCCTGAGCACTTCAGGCAGCTCTGGCAATGCCATCCCCAATAGAACACTTACCTCAGGGACAGACTAGACTCAAGTTTTGCAGCTAACCAAAACACCTCTTTCCAATTCCACTGCTCTGTGCAGGAGTCCCACACTGTTGACTTTCCAGCATTCCATCTCCTTAGTCATTTTAGCTCAGTTACATGAAACTTTTCCAAGTGAAGTACTGATGGCACAAGTACAGAAGGACAAGTGGGAGGAGGGTTATTGCTGACACCTAACAATCTTGTAAGGACTGGCCACTCAAGTCTGTGTAAGATCTCTTGTGCTGAAGCAGTTCATAGCAAACAAGTTGATTTATAAGTCTCACTGGGATCCTGTCAAATAGTCCTGGCACAAACTGAGCTATTTTTGTATTAGCATTGTTTTTGTGCCCTAAGATAAGAGTATCCATGTCCATGCTTTAAGAGTTTAATAGCTGACAGATGCTAACTATGAAGAAAGAGACAGGTACAATCCAAAGGTGAGGGATGCAGACATGCAGATTTGTTTAGAAACAAGAGCTACTGAAGTTTTCTTGGAAGTTTGTGAAGTTCTGCTAAGACATCTGTGGACATGATTTTCTGAACCTGAGAGAATTTTCAAACTCTCAGATGCTGACCGTTCCCAAGGGAAAGGCTTAGGAACCTTTTCTTGCTCAAGGATTAATTGTGTAAATAAGCAATTACTTTCCCAAAACAAGACACAGATGTTCTGAGCATACTGTCTCTTATCCCACCAATGGGATGAGAGAGGTGTTGTTCCTTCTACCAGTCAGGGTGACCTGGTCAGAGAAGCTTATAAAAGGGTTGACAAGACCCCAAATTAAAGGTTTTTTGCCTCATGAAAGTGGCTGCAGTGTGGATGATTACCTGGGGAACCCTCAATACATCGCATCCCAGTGACAGACATCAATATATGTTTCTGTATGTCACAGGTTAACTTTGAAATGATGTTTCCCTTTTCAAGGTTTGAGACTGAAGCCACAGAGCAGCAGCCACATACTGCTGTTTACTGAGGCCCCCAAAAGTCTGAGCAGCAAACACGGTAACATCAACAGAGCAGAAATGCCATACTAGAAGTTCTTCTCATATGTGACCAGAACTGTTACTACTACTTGTTGTTAACTGAAAACTAAACTTTCTAGGAATGTACTCCCTCATACTATATCTCATCTACACATCTAATGTCAGTCCAAGCATATTAGACAGGACCCAACTGGCGGCACTGTTAATAATTTACTTGAAATAATATTTTAAGTTTTGCATGGGCATCAGTTTAATTGCTCCTCATTAAAAGCATCAATGGCAAAGTCACCTTTAACACTGATTTTGGCAAGTTCAGCAGAACACTCCTCCAGGGGATGGAGAAAGGCTGCAGAAGTAGCTTTATGTTGAATAGTCTGCCAGGATACTCAAGCTTGGAATGTCAAAGCATTTTGTGAAGCCAAATTTTTCAAGTGAATGTGAAATGTGAATTATGTTAGAACTATAAAAGCCCCAACACAGAAAAAGCTAGAAAAAATAGCTAAGTTGAAGAAGTAGAATCAAGATATTACAAAACAGGTCAGATCCCAGCTCCTATCCAGGCTCTGGCAGAATGTTGAAGTAGTGAGGTACCTAAATGGGAAAATTAGGTTTGGAGTCACTCAGTCCTAAGTCTTCCTTGTTCAAAGCTGCCAATTTTACCTCCAGCTCTTTCTGCATAAGGGTGCCTTCCTGGCACCCTGTGAGCACAGTCACAGCAATACAGACCAGACAGCTCTGAGGAGGTTTGGAACTCCTGCTTTTCTCCTGTAAGCTAAGGAAGTTCTTCCCCACAGGTAGCTACTGCCATTGAAACAGTTTTGAATTGTTGAAAGTTGAGCAATTGTTCAATGTTGACTCCAAAACCATTAATTAGGTCATTTCTTAGCTGGAACATCTAATCTTTATGAAATCAAAGGAAGCAAAGACTTGAGATGAAATTAGAAACCAGTTCACAGATAAAATCATGGGTCATCTTGCTCTATTAAGAAAGGTTACTATATTGAGAATTGAATTTGTCATTACTCCACTGACTAGAAAGGTAGAAAGCCACCTACCACACTTGTCTCAATTTTCTACCTTCTTGCTTACTAACCTTCTAATGCAGGAAGAGACTGCAGAGGTGGAGACTTGAATTTCAAGCCCAGAAGAAAAGATGGATTAAAGAAGGAACTAGCAGGTTGCACAGTGTAGCTTCCTCATCAGGAAAGAACTACTCTGGCTTAAGTGTAAGGACAGTTGTGCTACTAAACTTCTCTTTTCACTTGGATCAGAAGCTGACATGACTGGCTTTTCTCAATAGTCACTAAAGTCCAGGCAATTTGGGTTTTCAAATGGCTGAACGGTGACAGAAAAACCACCAAGATGTACCATACAAGCCAAGAAGTTATCTGACTAATATTCAGTACTCTATGGAGACAAAGTACTTAAAACTCTCAAACTTTGGATCTACACTGAAAATCCAATCAGCAGCTAAGAGGTCACATAGTAGGATCACCTTTTATTAGTTCACCTGAACTTACAAGCACTTTCTTTGTTATTCTTTACTATAATCGCTGTGAGGTCAGTCTGAGATGCCAGGGTATAAAAACAATTGAAAACAATTGTGGATTGCCTTTGAGTTTCACTTTGACAGAATAGTGTATTTTTACACCCTGGCAGCAGAAAAGCTTTCTTCTATTCCCTACAAAGCACTTCTTGGGGCTCCTTGATTTCAGTTCTGCTGAAATCATGTGGAATTGGCATGTCATTTATCAATGTTATTTTTTCAATCTGCAGTAAGTTCCTTGTGCACATGGAACCCAAGACTGCTAGCCAGGCAGACTGGATTGTCCCAGTACCAGCTATCACTGGGGCATTATTAACAGCTGCAGTTTCTTGAAAGCCTGATAGCTTACAACTGCACTGTTAAGTACCTTCAAAGTAGGAAGCATTTCAATTTGATTTAATGATCAGAGCATAAAGCATCCAGGTTTTCCTGACCAGACTTAGTTAGGATTGTTAAACAGAGCTGTGAGACTAAGGTATATGGCAGGGTATTGAAAGAGGGGATTTATCAGCAGGAGACTGCATCGCTGCCCACAAATGTCAGCAAGAGAACAGCATCAGGTTACAGAGACAACTGCATATTTTATCCAGGAGTGCAATGCTACATCTCGCAGGCAGATGACAGCTTCCAATACTTCCAACCCTGAGTCTGTCACTGTAATTCTCAGAAAGCTTTCAGTCAAAAAGCAGCTTTCAACAGGCAGCAGCCTCCCAACCTGCAACTAAAGTCATGCCTCATTCTGCAGACATGCTTCCAGCCGTGTCTCCTGTTACAGCAAGCACACAGGCAGTGCTGTGTGGGAAAGATGAGAGTCAGCTAAAAGCAGTTTAACTCTCTTACAGCCCTCACTACCTCACCACTACAGCTACACTGCAGTTCAGGGAATATTTGTTGGAAACACAGTTAGCTGAGCATGATCAACTTTTCCCCACAGAGTTTATTTTTGGCTGTTCTTTAGGAAAGTTTTAAGCTGTGCAAAGATGTATTCCTTAGTGTTTTAAAGATTAAATAAACAAATACAGTCATTTTGCTACTTAACCAAAACTTACAAACATCAAAATCCACACCATGGTGGCATAAAAAACCAACAGCACAAACTCACCTGCTCCCTGGACTGGGCCCTTGCGATAATGAGTCTTCGAGCAGAATAAGAGACATAGCAACCCACAGTTGCTGCTGCCACAACGAAAAATGACACAGAGATGAAGAGGATGGTGAAGATATTCACAGAAAGACTGCGCTTTTTTCCCACTTCAATGACCATGGTGACTTTCATGCCATTCCGAATGCGGTGCAGGATTTCCATGCCTTTCAGGTTGCCAATCATAATTGCAACGATCTTTTCAGCACCTGCAAAGAAGGGGAATCCATGCTCAGTTCTCAGGTGTTGTTATCAGAGGCATTGTCTTGGATGTCCTGCTTCAAGTGCTAAAGAAATGGCTGTGGGAAGTTTCTAAATAGTATTTATAGATTCAGTATGAACTGATGGAACAAGAGTCATCACTATGTGTGTCCAACTGAAAGTATGTCCCATTACCTATGAGCAGCATAAGTGAACCATGTTTAGAATTCATTCATCTCCAGAGCATTCCTCACTCCAATACAGGACACAGACTATCCTATTTTAGACACAACACTTTGGCGATTTATATCTTAACATGCCTTTGAACTACATGAAGTTAAAAATAAATCCTCTACAGAGTAAGGTCACTGGGGATTGTGATATCTGTATAGGGATTGCTTCTTGTAATTGATCCAACTCCCTCCCTGCTCCACTGCTACTTCTTAAGACCTCTTTTCTAAATTTGACAGTACTTTTGTGTACTTCTCCAGACACTGAGCAATCAAAGACAATCACTTCCGTATTTTCAACAGCAGCAGATGACTGAGGGAAACTGCATTGTGAATTCTAAGTGTTTTTGCGAGTTTCTACTGCAGATTCAGAGGGAAGCAGATATGAAGGAAGGCATGCTCCACTTTTAAACAGTGAGGGGCAAGATGCCAAATGCCATATTGATTTTAACAATGGGTTTTATTGGCTTAGTTGAACACCACACCAAGTCAAAGGAACCAAGGTATTTATGGTAGGAAAAAATTTCAAGCAACTCCAGTCACCAAGCACAGACCGCAGCAAACTGGTTTCCCCTCAGTGACATGCAAGGGCATGAGGACACTTGATACTGTCTGTAGAAACATTAGAAAGTCCCAATATAACAGAGAGGCTCTTAAGAGGGGAAAAAAAGAAAGAGAGAAAGAGTGATGAGTAAATTATCACTGCTCTCTCTAAATACAAGAAAAGCAGATTTGAGACCAGCTAATCAGAAGTCTCACTGCATTAAACCATCATCTGCACAACATTCATAATAGACACTGCATGGGGGAAGAATAAAGACTGTTACAAAGTGCTATTTTTAGCTAACCCCTGGCCAAACACTCTTTAATGGGAAGAGCAATTGTTTTTCCCTCTGCTGAGTTACTCAAGTTATTTCCCTCTGCTGAAAGTTATTCAATTTTCAGCTACCAAAAACGCCAAGAATTGGTGTTAAACCACAAAGGCTGTGTTTTTAGTTTTATTAGTTTTTCAGCTTGTTCACATAATGCCTGTTACCCAAGACAGCAATCCACTTTCCTCAGTGGGACAAAACTCATCTTTTATTCAGAAAGCTCCTTGTAAAGACAAGGACATCACACAGAAAAGAGAAAAAAAAAAAGTCTCCCAGACTGCAACTACTCTTTAGGATGATAGGCTTATATATCATATACAAAATGAGCTGGAGTCAGGTGTTAGCAGCAAGCAAAGAAGTCAGAAGCTGACGCTTTCATAAGCATGGAAGAAAGTGTGGAAGAACAGGCTGCAACAATGAGAATGTAAAAAGCCTGGCACAATAAAGAGCAAAAAAGGTTGCTCTACCCTATTCCCCTGTATTTCTGCATGTCTCACAGTAAATCTAGCTTGTGTTTATGCACAAGACACAGCATAGCAATTCCTATTAATGAAATGTCACCATCAGCCTGCAAAACCATTCCAGCTACTAAGCCATCCATTGTGAACAAGTTTTACCCTTGAATAAAAAAACGTATTCCATTTAAGTTTCAGAGAGCATAGTTCACAAGGATGTCATCAGACAACAGCTTTAATCCTCACTGACACTCCTGAACCCCAGAAATTTCTGTTGCAATTTCATCTCTGCTTTCGATGAACACATGTGAGTAGTCAGTTGGCTTTGACACTGGCACAACAAGAGCAGAAGTGAGTGGCCATTTCTATCAGCACATGTGTGCAATAACTTCCATGCTTCTATAACAAAAGCAAGACGATCACCCCGACCCAATACTTCCTGAGCTGCTACTTGGGTACCCATTATGACAGGTACTGAAACACGTTATGGTGGCCTTGGAACCACCAGCCTAAACAGAGGCTCCTAACAGGGTTTGGCCATCATGTGGGAAACAAGGTATTTGAGGGGACATCTGCAGAGGTATCTCAAGCACACCTCAGCTCTCAGCTGTCAGCTTTTTCCCCACCCAGTCTCCAGTAAAGCAGAGGGAAGTCAGTTAGCTGTGCCCAGTAAAAACCTCAGAGAAACCAAAGTTCTTTGCCCAGGTGTCAGCTTTTGTGATTCAACTAAAGCTTCTGAAACAGTTTTTAAGGGACACTTAAAAGGTGAAATTAATCTGCTGCCTGTTTAGCTGATAATGGGCTCATTGCTAAACAGAGGCAAGACCTGTTCAGTTAAACACTTCCCAGCCTCTTTCCTTCCCCATCTCCTGTGAAACGGGAGAGGGAAAATTATTCAACTCTTTAGGACACCACAACCTGCCTCTTTGGGCACCTCCCAAATTTTAAGGCAGAAGCTGTTCAAAATCTAAAGGAAATGGGTTGATGAAGCACATGAACCCCAGTGGTTTGTTGGAGCAGGGAAGAGCTAAGGCACAGCATATTGGTCCATGACTAGGATCAAAATTTCACCTTCCTGGATCAGTTTGACTAGATGTAGAGTTGAGTTGCACTATTTATAGCAGCATCAATACCTATATAAAAATCTGTCCTGCAAAGACTTCACTCATTCTGCCAGTACACTTCTACTCCTAAACATGAAGTTACAGCTTTGACGATTCAGTAGAGAAATGAGATGTGCAAGGGGGGCATAGAGCAGGGAGCATTAACTTTTTCCTTCTCACATTCATTTAAGGTGATTACTGTAATCCAGTGCTACATTTTTGTGTACTACTGATAAATCTATCCTGAACCAAGCAAGCTGTAGAGCCTGGAGAACACTTGCCCCACAATATTTAGATTGCAATGGTACCTAATTTGTGCCTTAAAAAAGCTGACTTTTAGCAATAAAATCACAATCTATTAATGCATTAAAACACATCAAGGCAAGATACAGATCTCAAAGCCAAACAAATCCACCGACCAAAGCCAACTCAATAAGTCCAAGTCACTTCCTCTACCCTCACTCAAAACTAATTTCTCAGCTCATTCAGACATTGCAACCATTTTGCATTGTTTAAATCAAACGAATTCAGCTTCAATTAAGTCATGAAAGACCCCTTTATTTTGGTTTAAAGGCCTCACTGTAACTTTAGCCAAATTCCATATATCTTTCTTTTCTTAGACAGCAAGAACCAAACCTCTCTAATGTCTCTATCACCATTTACCAAGAGCAGGATATAAAACTGATGGACCCTTTTTCTCTTTGGGAACAGACTGAGCTACAACACACAGTTTAGTGAAAATATGCGAGGAAGGCAATAGTTTTGAGGGCATTTTTAAGAAAGAAGGTATAAAACGTACTAAGTAGGCAAGTTGTTTCAGAGCAAGGAAAGGCTAGCATGCCACACACAGCCTCCAACATTTTGAATGCCATTACATTTTCCCCCCCCAGATTTCTCAAAGTCTGAAGTTTTGCCTCATCTTTAATAAGACTGAAATTAAGTGCCCGCAGTTTTGCCAGTATTCCTTCACTCTGTCCAGAGAGCACCATGTGCAACCAGTGCCTCTGCTATGGCACAGCCACACTGCTTATCCCTGGGATCAGCACAGCTCACCCCAGCATGCCCAGCGCTTCACTTGGGAATACCCCCACCCCATCCTTGCTCCTGGTGGGATCACCAATCCATTTCAACAACCCCAGCTGGCCACCACATAAGCAACCAGCTCAGAAAAAGCAGAATGGAAAAACTTACTTTTGATTTTCAATGCTTCATATATTAAAAATAAAATAAAAAAAAGGAACATGCCGACTTCAGAGTTTGAATTCTCAAAGAATGGACAGGTTCTCCTTAACCACAGCACCACAGCAGAAATGCTATTGGTAGGCTCTTTCAGGAGATGAAATACAACTCTAGTTGTATCTAGTTGTTTCTTGGTGCCTGGATCATTGTTTTTATCTGTAAGACTTGGAGCCCAGATCAGTAATAGTTGTGCCTTATACCTAGTCAAAGGACCTAGAGGTATTCCCCTGGAACCCCTCTAACCCCACCATCAGCAAAAAAAGCATTAGGAAATCAAGCAATCTCCTGTTCTTTAACACAAAAGACACTGTCAGTTCACACTCCAACCATTTTGTATCAGTTTAGCACACCTGGCTCCTCAGGCATGTAAAAGGAGTACCTGATAGCCTGTCTTTCATGTTTAGAGAAAAACTACAATGCCTTGAACATTGCTTATCTCACTGTAATTTAATAGTAAGAAATGGGATTTCTGGTGGTTATCGAACAGGCTGGTACAAGCTCACTCTCATCTGTTACTCTAGGAAGAAAAGTAAACTAACAGTGGACACAGACCGAGCTGATATTACTTACCTTACATAATTCACCTCAGATGACAGGCCAGCACTGCACATTAAAGCCATCAAGTCTTAGCAACACACCCCACTCTAGGGACAGAACAGCTCTCCCTGGCCTCAGACACTATGAAACCAGACCCTGCAGGCCAGCTCTGCTCTTATCCATGGTACAGTGTGGATAAAAAAATAAAGTGCTTATTACTGTCATCCATATGCACAAGGCAAAATCTCATCAGGAATGTGCCCATCCCCACAATCATCCTCCATCCCAGACACTGTCAGAGAAAACACCTTTATTGCCCTGTGATAAGCTTTCCCAATTGCAAGAGGGAAGGGTGAGTGAGCTCATAGTTCAGGAGCAATAGAAACCTGGGTAAATTGTAGGCTTGTTCCTTCTTCCCCTGCTTTGTATGTTCTCCACCCCAAACATTACCTGGCACCAAGATAAAGGAATAAAACACATTCAAGGTTATTTTGCAGTAACTTAAAGATACAGCTCTGTATGATCTAAACTGTTTGACTGAACTGCCTTTTCCCTCACACTATTACCTACGC